GCGACTGCCTAAAGCTCCTCCTTTAGTCTTCCCCTAAGCAGTATGGCCTCCGGACCATGCCAGCAGCCTCTCAGCCCTTCTCTACGTCGGCATTACGTATTCCACCTCAGTATTATGTCTTCTTCCATTTCCAGGACAGGCTCGGGATGCTACACTTGTGGTGGCGTGATGCAAACCCCATCCCACAGAACAACCACACTGACTTCTATTATCAAACGCTAAGCCCCAACGTGACGGAAGAAGGGCACATGCTGCAGATGAGAGAATCTGTCACTACTCCTAACAAAAGGGTTGGAAACGACGCCTACCTTCGGCAACTACCCCTGGTCTCGCGTTCTGCAGGACCGCTGCTAACAAGTGAGGCGACACTAGCTGTGCACCACCCGCAAAAGCTCGTTGTGAAGCTGTCTGCAGTACCTGTATGAAGATGTCATTTGGGAGAAAACGCGATATCCCCTCCACCTGTCTACTAACCAGACAGAACCAGGATGGATCTGACTGGGCACCACTGAGGTGGGAGGCAAGTGGCAAGGAGGAATCGACGCAAGACCTCATCCGCACGAAACTGCTTCCAACTGCGTCATGTATTAAACGACTCCGTTTTAGGTCAGTGTTCATCCGATTAGTGCTGGACATACGTTGTGGCCTGCGCCTCCCCCTTCCCCCAATTCAGTTCCAAAGCAGGACGGAAATCCAGATCCAGTAGGATTACCGAGAGGGATCAGTGATGCTGTAGCCAAATGTCGTCTTAGTTGCACGCAAAATCGATGACTGGTGTGGTTAATTGGTGGTGTCTTGGTTGGTGTCTTGCAGCACCGACTACGTTGTGATGGTCGACGTGGGTGATTGATTGGTTGATTAATGGGAGCACCGAGGAAGCCTCTCGAAGTGCGAGAAAGGCCGTGCGATACTTTGGTTATTTGTTAAACTCTTCGGTTTGGCTTTGTGGGTACTTAAGGCTTCGTCTTTGCATATCTGCTGAGGGCGTAGCTTGTGGGATTTACCAGTAGCCTTCCTAGCCCTCCTCTACTTCTAAAAAACATTTTCTGCCCCAATACTATGCCATCTTTCGTATTTTGAAAAGACTCAGTGCTATTATAATACGATAAAGGTTTATCCCTCGGTTCTGGTGAGGCGCCACTTTTGGACTTTGAATTAGCCCCCTTGTACCTCGTTGGGTGGGCTAGCCTTTTGGGCCATGCCAGTAGCCCGGACACCTTCTCCGTGCTAAACATATATATTCTGCCCGAGTATTGTGTCTTCTTTCGTCTTCAGGGAAATCTTGGGGTGCTACAGTAAAAGTACTTCCACACCCTTTCAGATTAAGGCGTTAAAAATGCAAGCAACTTAAGGATCCAAGTAATTTGTCTAAAGTCGGTATATGAGACATTCTGGGAACTGAGGCACGTAATTTTGGGTATTTATTATAAGAAGTGCGTGCTACTTAAGGCGTTGGTTTTAGTATTAAGTCACGTGTTTTGTGAATAGCTTATTTGGATATGCGTCTCAATCAATAATCATTGCTAAATATCCACCCACTCTTACTAGAGTCTATGTATTATTTCCTTTACAACCCACGTTTTTAAAATTTTAATCCACATTTAATCTTTGTGATTGTATACCAATGTCTTGATTCATCGTGTTTTAATCTAATTAGAAAGCTATGTGAGGACTGTGAAGTAACCGACTTTATACTCTTGAGCTCTGGTAAGCATATTCTCAACCTTTGCACCACTTGAATGTGGTTTTTGTCGAGCGAACTTCAGACGTGCTAATGTAGTGACTGGCATTAGTTAGAAGTTCCGATTATTGTTATCAGAGTAGCAATAAGTCCTTATCAAAAAGCAGATATGATATAACTTAACATGCAACGCGAAACTAGAGGCGTTGAGGCATTGCTTGCAATCGCAAAAATACATCGACTTACAATGCTTCCACCAGACCGATTGTTGAATTGGATAACAAGGCATTTGTTGCATTATTTATTGTTCAGTTTCCTTCCCAAATGCGCTTACCTGTGACAGAATCTTAAAGTGGTTAATGATCCCATAAGCAATTAAGACATTGAACTTGCTGATAATATGAATTGTTGACTGCATTTATGGATGTTTCCAGGAATACATGATTTATTAGGTATTAAGACAAATCATTATTCCACTTAACACGGGTACATGTCCCTAGGTTTAGGTAAAAATGTTCAATGTCAATTAATTTGTCGTCACCCGTCTCTTAGAAGTGCCAACCATAATTGTAAGTGTGCACACTTTAATCACAGAGTGCAATAAATATGTGAAGAGATCGGTCCTATCATACGTCTACGTTCCAGCGAGGATAGCATTTTCATGATTCACCGATCAACTTCTGTTCATACAGGACTGATGACATAATAATATTGTAGGCCCTTGTCGGCATAATGCGTGTTAGCATCACAAAGAAATCGGCATTAGGTGCTGGCCACTTAATATGGGTTTTGGCCCTTAATGAAAGGGTGTATTAAGGTTCTTATCTAACGGGTTGCAAGTCCTGGTGACAATCGAGGAGTTAATTCTTGTATTTCTAGTAGAAAGAATAAGCGTTTACAGACATAAGTGCTACTGTAAGTCTGTGCTGAATATTTATGTAATTTCTATGTTGTTATTTCCCTCAAGGATTACACAGCTCTTATTTGACGCAGAGGCAACCTAAACAGCACATTCGTGTGCCTACTTAATAGACTAGCCTGAATGCTCACCGCATTTTGATCTAGATATGCAAATCAACAACAGCACTTCCTTTTACTCATCTTTGTTTATTTCGGGTCTGATAGTTTTAATCTATCTTTTGTCATGCCCCTACAATAAAGTTGAGGAATCTTTTAATATTCAAGCTATTCACGATATTGTATACCACAGGAATAATATATCGCAGGTAACTATTGCTTTTCGTCCTTAATAGACATAGTATGATCACATGGAATTCTCTGGACCCGTTCCACGAACATTTTTAGGACCATTATTCCTAGCTTTACCTTGGTTGTTTCTGCCTCCTATTATACCCAAGGCTACATTGCAGTTCATCGGTGAGCTTTGTTCATGTAATCGTATAATTTATGTAGTTCGTGCTGTTCTCGGTCTTCTCCTTCTTCATGCTATGGGCAAATTAGGCTCAGCTTTTAGGGAGCGATTGCGCCTCCTATTCTGCTCCCGCTTTCTACTTATAACTTATACACAATTTCACTTGGCGTTCTATTCCACAAGAACTTTACCGAATATATTTGCTTTGATCACTGGTATGATTGCGCTTCATTAGGCTTGCCAGTTTTCCGTGTTTTTATTGGTTTTGCGAAATATTGGCATTTGATTCGAAGTTGTTACACTCTACATGGCAAATTAATCCTGCAAAGATTACCCACTCAAGTTCTCAATTTATGTGTTTAGTTCACTGTGGTTGCCATACCAGATTCTTTGAATTGTTGTTAATGCTTCTAGTGATTAGTCATATATACCGTCTCGGTGCACTGCGTACCACTTTAGAGAAAAACATATGTGCATTTCGAAAAAAATGTGTGTATCACTTGAGTTTGTGTGCATGCTGTTCAATTTTATGAAATAACTTATGATTTTGTTGATTCACCCTCTTCTGTCGTTGGTAATCTTCTACTTCTAAGTAGCTAAATTTAATGAGATGTTGGTTTTTAATAAATAAGCATCATTTCGCCACCTTCCGACTTTATTCTGTTAAAACCAAGCCTTGGTTTTCTACAGTCGTAGCAGTCCTTTTTTCTCCTTTTTTAGTAACTTACGCCCTAGCCTTTCTTTTGCGAGGTTCTGATTGCTTATTTATCATGCTTTCCGGATTTGGGATTCTCGTTTTTCGAAGTGAATTGGTGCTTTTTCATGGCCCTCTTCTCATTTTTGGCCTCTGCTACAATTTTGTCAAAATACGCCCTACTCTCATATTGACTGGGCTCATAACCACTTCAGTTTCTTTAAGTAAGTCTACCAAAATATTCTGTCATTCAAATCTGCAGTGTCCTTACCTTTGCCGCACTTTGCTGGAGCACGATTACTTGAAAGATTTCTCTATCTGCCATAAGCTCGATTTACCATAACATCTTTTCTACTAGTTCGTTCTACAAAATACTAAAATGTTCAAGATTTCACGATTACCTATCTAATTGTTGCAACAAATTTTCCATAATCTGTATCTCCAAAAGCATGCTCCGATGTTTTGTTTTTTGCTGGGGGACAAACATGATGAAAACGTTTCCTTATCTTAGATCATAAAGCACCTGCTTTTCCAAGATTAGTATACTTGATTTAAGCCGAAGTATCCGTGAGCTTTGTCTTAAACCAGCACCTAATTGATCACCTTAATCGACATTAACCTGCGATAATTAATACTCTCGAAATTGATGCTGGCGAGAGCTCTGTGTGATACATCACCTGCTTGACCTATGAGAATTTTAACACTGGGTTCTTTGCATGTTTTTTCCATTTAAAAAGGTAATTTTTTCCCTTTTTTGTGGAAATTTTAGTGCTCACGATTGTCTTTGATTCGTACTTTTGGCAACGTTGGCTTTGGCCCGAAGGAGAGGTGTTTTATTTCAATGTTATTGAAAATAAAAGCCATCTCTGGGGTGTAACCTTTTAAAAATTATGTGTGTTGTTTTGTTTTTGTCCTCATTTCTAGGCATTTCTGGGTAATCAAGTGAATTTTAAGTGTTCTTATATCTTTAGTAAATTATTCTACTGTATTATTTGCTTTATTCTCCGACCTGTTTCCCATGTTTAACGTTCTCATTCTGAAACTGTGATTATGTTTTGCCAGTTAATTTACCTCTCTTCCATTAAGTTACGGTAATGATTCATTTCCCTTTCTCCTAGAAGCATATCACTACAGCTTAAATGCGGTCCTTTCTCCTTTAGCACTCTATTGATTTGTTTCCTTTACATCGGTTCTTGACTGTTCGCTTTTCAATTTAATACAGAGCCCGAAATCTTACTCCCCAGAGTATTCTAATTCGTCCAAATATTGTTCCTAATTGTACCTCGATCTACTATTATCGGTTATCATCTGCCAATTTTGAAGTAATGTTTTTACCTCTCTTGGTCAACTTGATGGTACCATCGAGCCTAATTTACATGTGGATATTTATGCTTTTCATCTGAACTTTCTAACACCTTAACTGGAATTACACAACTAGACAGTGCCATTCTATTGGTACTTTCTAATCGCCTTGCCGAAAGCCCTGATGACGACCATAGGTTTGGTTGTGTGCGCAAACCTAGTGCTCGTTTTCTTATCCCTCACTTCCGAACTCCCCAACCGTGAATACCATGTCCTGCTGGGGCTGGAGATCGTGGCTCTGGTTTTTATCACGATCTACTCCTTCCTTCCACACAAAGAGCTTCGATTCATCATCTACGCGATTCCAATATTCAACCTTGTGGCTGCCTACTTTTGGAGCTATGTGTGAGTTTAACACAGGGGGTAATTTTTTGGTCTGCCACTGCAAAATGAGAAACACCACAAATCATCTTTGATGAATTTTCCATTTTCGTGATAGCAACACTCAAATACAGCACTGCCAGACGTTGAATTGAGTGTGATAAATGAGCTACTAATGTGTGTCGTTTGGTTTTTAGTGAACACCGTCTGTGTATATGCCGTGATAAGAGAACAGTCAGAGAGCTCTCTTCAAAAGAGAAGAATGTGGAAAATTTGAATAAACGCTGGAGAGAGACCTCGGCTTTTGTGTACTGGGTCTGTCGAGTAGCGGTTCTTTTGTGCTACGCTAGTTTATTTGTCAATCTCTGCGTCTCTATCGGACTGCTCTACGTTTCATCCTACAACTATCCTGGAGGTGAGGCAATCACTCGGCTAAACAATTGGCCCGGATTGAGTGAACGACGTGGTAGGTGTGCTGAAAAATACGCTCTACTTATATAAACCAAGTATAATCAATCAATCAATCAGTCAATCAGTATCAATCCGGTTGATCCTAGACTTCTCTTGCCATTTTTCCATCTGGGATGAAAGAATTTAGAAGGTACTTTTAATGATGGAATCTGAACTATGTAGTTTATGAAAGGTACTGATTATTTCATGCAATCTTGTGGTTTGACTATTTTACGCCAATGAAATTTACTTTAATGCACGCATTTCAGAGCTACAGTGAATTAAAATAACAAATTACTTGAGGTGAAATATGTTTGAGATAAGGTTATACGTTCATTTGGAACTAGTCTTAACTAATGATAACTTTTTGTCGCCCAACGATCAAGCCTATTAACGGTTGCGATCATGGTTTACACAGAGCTTCCTTATTCGCATCTAATTAATTAAACATAGCGCATTTTAACCAGGTTCAAGCTGTCACTTTTCAAAATGATATGCAAATGCACGTAGGCTGTTTGAGTTAACTCCTTTCTTCATCCCTTACTCCACCTAAGTGAGAGGGTCAATTTGCATTTCACTGGAGTGTTGGGAATATTTAATTACTTCGGTACATACCTGCTGACTGTCTTCTATGGCTACAGCCTGTCGGCAGTTGTTCTCACTATCATAAGCAATCACAAGAGAATGTATTACATGCCAAGTTTTTTTAGAATTAGTGCCATTTCTCTCAGAAACTGCTCCCTTGGTTAGGCATGTAACGGCTGTGTAAACACTAGCATCCTCATTGTTATTTCATATCCTAACGTGTTATAACAGAACTTTGGGCGATTATACTTTAGCTTTATTCGCCAAATTTTATCATAATAGTAATTAAGCCGATATTAGACACAGCTTAGGTTTATTGTAGGGTGTGTGGTTAGAAATGAGGCACAAAATTATTGACTTTATTCCTAGTCAAACGCTTAAGTTTTGGATTTTAATTTTCCTCATAAAGTGCAAAAAAGTCGCCGACATCATGCATTCAACTTACTGAAAGGCTAGCGCCATTGTAGCAGGTCTTTCCGTTTATTCTTCTTTCAGCATAATGATTTGCACATTGATCGTTTAATGACACTCCTTGTAGATGTTCACGTCTACATTAGCAATCTGGCTGCTCAGACGGGAGTCAGTCGATTTCAACAAGTTAATGACCATTGGATGTGAGTTTTAATGTCACATTTTCAGTTTTACCACTTTTCTTTTGTGTCCTACTTAAGGCTCGATGTCTGTGAGTAAATACATTAAACAACTCCCTATACCTTAAGATACGCTTTTACTTTCCATCCTCATGACTACTGTGTCCCAATCTGATTTACTACGCCATAACCTCCTAAACTGAAGGTATTTTTCAGCATCCATTGTTGTACGATTGTAATGGAAGTAGTGCGAATTCTAGAAACCGAGCTTTAAACGGATATCACGGCTGCTGCGTGAGGGAATACCCTTTCCACGATCCAAATTATTCCGATTTTATTTCCACTCTTTTGAATTAGCTGGGTTTTTGGGTAAAGCGAAAACTGATTTTCTTTTATCACCCAGAGCTGGTACCTTCCATTGATAGCCTTTAGACGCTACGTCTTCTAATTATACAACAATATTCCAAAAGTATTCAATAATGTATTTGAGTCGCTTGCATCATACGGTTGCCTCAGTTATTTCAATATTTTTTATTGATACTTCTTATTTTTTTAAGATTTAAATAAAGCGCCTAATTTCTTCGAGAGTAAACTCTATAGCTATAATTTTGAATAGTATCCCACATTTGTGTAGACAGTTAGGTTACCCATTCTTTTAACTTTTGCAGGCTGCGCTTTCCTATTTATATTATTTTAATATACTCCTTTATTTTGACTTTGGAGTGTCATTCTTCTTGGATCTTGGAATTTTTATGACTGAGTTCCTGACAATGTTTTGTTCCTCCCTCTTGGGACAGAAGTCTTTTCTCGATGTACCCAAATGCTTGATTCCCAACTCGACTGTGTTCTGTACCTTATCTCTTTCATCTTCATCTTCCAACAATAAGTTAACTTTATGATGTTTTATTGTAGTAATGGTAAGCTTTACCGTTTTCATATTACCTTCGTTTGGTCTTCTATTAATTAGATTTTTTTGCTTTTTATTTCGCTTTTTTTTTAAATCCCCGTGCTTTTTCAGAGAAGCTCAATTTAGACTTTATGCACCCTTCCTTCGACGGAGTAATTGATGCATCATCGTGTCCTGGTGGTGTGCAACGAGTAGTGTGAAAGTCCTCTCCGTATTGTGAGGCTGTTCGGGTTCACTGCTCAGTGTTCCTTTTTTTCTATTTCGTAGCTTAAATTTTCGCTCTTGAGCTAACTCTTTTGTTATTGTATGTCTCTAGCTTTAAAATTAGAATTGTTAATCGTGATTTCCTTGTGAATGTTTGTGCTGAAAAATAAATAAATGTGCTTCATTTAGAAATAGTGCATCCTCTGGGTCGAGCGAATTTCCTCTCCTATTTCTCCGTGTAAATTGTCTTCACCTAGGTGAAACACCGTCCAATGTAGCGTGGAAGTCCGTATTTTCAAAAATAACTGCCCTTTTACCCTTGTTGTTTACACAGGAATTTGAATTCAATCATCTGCATTGTTAATCACAATGTCCTCGTCATTTCCAGAGGAACTGATTAGCACAGCCTCAGTGAACTTAACCGTCCCTTGACTAATCTATCTTATACATCAATCTTAAAATAGTAGTTTCTTTAAGCCTGTGTAGGGTTAATAAACCAAGCATTTGCGTTCCTGGCAAAGTGTAGAGCTTTTGGCTTATTCCTCGGGCCACGCTCTTCGAACCATCATCAATCCCTATTTGCTACACTGCCTAGTGTGCCCCGCATTCAAATTCTCTTGAGGACTTTATCTACTCCTTACGATTCTCATTAGGTAAACTGTACGTGACATTTAAGCCTGTATAGTGATTTTCGACTCCATAATAAACGCTCATGTGATATTTCTGAAGCGACATAATTTGTTAGGCCCAGGCGACACCTAACCAATGATTAAGATCAATGCAAAATGCGTGACAAAGTGCTCCAAAATCACTGCCTTACACAGTTGCCTCATGCTAATTGCTTCTGTATTTTAGTTATAACAAGACTGAGAAAATCGACAATGATGTTCGGGCTCTAGTCGAAGGACCCTTCACGCACTTGATTTTGGAGGCTTCGAAAGACGTTCTTTCCGGCCGTGTCGAGGCCTTCCATCAATTGTTCACCGTAAAGTCATTCTCAGGCATTACATACAACCCTGAGGGATCCCTCTGGAAGAAACTGAAAATCCTCATAAAACCTGCTCTTGTGACTTATGAAAGAGTGGCCAGACCTTGACATTGTCTTTTTTATATCTACTTTCGTTACTCCAGATGTAGTTTTTAGAAGAATAACACGTAATTCTTTACTTCGGTCAGTTTTTTTTCCAACTCTTCAGCTGTCGTTGACTATACCTGTTGATTAATGCTGCCAAGGTAATGGCAAACTCGCACTTTTTCAAAACCTTCAGATCTATTTTGAGTCGTTTTTAATGTATATCATTATGCTTCTGTTATGTCATCGTGGCGTCACTTTAGTGAATAAATTCAACGTTTTTGTCTTGAAATCATTCCACTCAAATAGCTGTTACAATTTGACCCCTGAAATCCCGTCACATAAGTGTAAGACTAGTGTAGCCGGAAATTTGTGCAATGCATAATCGTTGTGAATTACGCCCTAGTAGAGGTACCTTTTTTGCACCTACAATTGTTGAGACATTGTGGATTCTGTTCTGGACTCCATCAGCCTAGCATTCAGAATCAAAGCAAATTCTAGCACTGCAGAACACAAAGTTGCTACCCTAACCCCCCGATTTGAGGTTCAAGTGCTGCATCAATTTCGGCGCTGTAGGCTCACACGTGTGTGCTGACAGGACCACTGCCAGGGTCATGAGTTGGTATGTGTAGCCTTCGAGTTAGCTCCTGGTTTTAAACCAACTTGTCTTCCTGTAGACGTATTTACTGTGAAGCATTGCGAAGTGCAGAGCGTAAATTTATTGATATCAGAATGATTAGAAAAGATAGTCGGCACAAACTGCAGCGTAGAACAAGTCGATTTCAATAAAAATTGCAATTTCAAAATTAAAGTGAGGTGGTTCCTTTTAGAATGGAAGTGAGGGAGAAGAATAATCATAGTTGGGGGTTATATTCACCCTATTCAAATACGCCAGGTTTCCCTGTATTTTGTATGCTCTTTTTGCCTTTTTCTGAGTGCGCCGATGAGGAGGTAACTCAAGCTAGTGTCACGTAATTGGCCGGAAATAGGCCCTTTAGTCCACTTCCGTGATGTTTTCCGTAAAGCCAGCCCGGTTCCTAAAGATAAAAATATTAGTTAAATTAAAATCTTGTCAATTTCATTGCTTGCAGAGTTTCCAAATACAAAACTGCAGCAACACTTAATATGTTCAAAACAAGTCGGTATTTTTTTACTTTTCTGTTCTAGATACATTATAAAAATGGCAAATGACGTGGTATACTAGGCAAATTGTGAAGCCATCACAATTACTGTGACGCTTTCGCATTGACAGTATTTAATTCAATACGTTCATGATAAAAGGTATTTTACGAGACGCATGTTCCTGTTGTTTTATTCTTTATCTACTGCCGTCTATCCCAAATTCTATTCAGGCTCCGCTTACAGATGCGCCACGCAAACAAAACTGACTGATGCATTTACAAAAAAATCTGAGGCAGACCATCCTGGTGGTGCAAAAAACAGTAATGTTCCACATTTGAAACATGGCGATGCAATAGGCACAATTTCGTACAACCCTTAAAACCGCAGTAGTTAAGAGGAAAGAAGAAATTGAACTTAATGACTTGCTTCAAAGTAGTTGAACATGTCATCTTAAAAATAAAAACGCTAGGAATAGTTAGCTGCAAAGTGTACAGGATTAGGCATGACGCACATCTTCCAAAATGGTTGCGTTGCTTTCATTCAGTCACGTGTTTAAATCACAGAAAAGTAAAATGAGGAACAGAGGTAAATTGTGCAGACAGTTTTGTGTGGTGCATTTTGCAGCATTTGCGGTTTATGAGCATGCAATCACAGTGATTTAAAAGCGTATGGCCGCTGGATGGCACAACTTACGGTGCTTTTTTTCTTTACATGGATGACAATGCAAGAAAAATAAATTGAGGTATTTGGGCTAAGTAGCTGGAAAAGAAACTTGACGAAAATATGATGCAGATTCAGCCTAAGTTTCAGTAAAATGTTTGGTGGTTGAAGGGTTGATTTCTGATGACTCAGTTATACACTTCTGCTGGATTGGGTTCACACCCTTTCTCGTGGTGTTACAACGCATTATGGAGGATATACGTTCAGATTCCAAAATACGCCTTTTTGTAGAGCCGGACTAAAACGGCCTCAGAAATTTGTTACATGTCAGAAATTTTCCACTTTGTGGGAGTGTGTTCGAAACTCACATTTATGTGGATTGCAGTAAACATTTTGACTTATGCACAAGGGAGAAATATAGGATAATAAGCTTGCTATTCTTTTATTGGTTTAGCACACCTTTAACACATCGACCAGTTTTCACGCATCAAGGAAGGCTTCGCATTGGAGAGTAGAAACACTTCATGGATAAATCTGTAGTTGATCAGTGATTTGATATGAAAACAATTACGATAAAAAGGGGTTGAAAGAATTTCTACACAATTTCCCATGATTTACTGAAATCGTTTTCCTATCACTACTGTTTATAATTTTAATTTTACATAATACAGAAATAATAGTCCTTATGTTCGCTTGGTATTTATAGGCTGAATATAACGTTATTGCATTTGGTTTGATTTTAGTGTAAACATTGAGGTCCAATCAGAAATCGCATTTTTATTAATTAAACTAGACATCAAGGCGAATATGAAATGAGGTGTTTTTCAGGAAACAACTATTTTTAGGAAGTCATTAAATACCGAAATAGTTCGAATGTTGAGCCGGGACACCTGTACTAACAGTATATAGCATGTGACTTCAGGTAGACAAAACCGACTCTATGGGACCCGCATAAAACAACTTTTTATTACCATATTTGCTGAGCAAGGTACGTATGGGTAAAATGCGCTTAAACAACGTTGTTCGTATTTTTATTAAGTTATCTACTGAACCTGCATTAAAACCATTTATAGATGCGAAGAGGAGCATCGAATATGCTAAAATTCTAAAATAAGCCTAGTTTTCCTAAAATGATTTACTTGGAGTATGTGAGATGTTAAACTGCACAAACTCAGGGTGTGACATTGACCGCATTAATTTTCGCTGAAATTAAATGCTACATTTATTTATACAGTGAAATTTTGAGGCAAAAAGCTTCAATTCTTCAAAATTGGGGCGTAATCTTACTGAACCTGAGAGGTTGGCACAGTCGGAGTGCTTGATTCTGGACATGTTCAGAATTTGGATACTGATTACTTCTACATGACCAACCCTTTCACACAAATTTGTGCATGACACTTTCAAAATAAAACTGATTTTTAATCTATTTGCTTGCATTAACTCATTCGTGGCACTTTCACCAATAGATTCATTTTGTACTACTGCTTGCACAACAATATGCAAGTACCACTTTGACGCATATGCTTTGTAAAACACTTATTTATTCACTATTCACTTCCCTCATTCAAAGCTATGCAAAAATATGGTTGGCAATTTATTGAATAAATGGATTGGTTATGATATCAGGAATTCCAAGATTACCATAAAAAGATGTAAATGGGGAAGTTTGTAGTCTTCAAATATACCAAAATATGGGATGGTATGAAATGAAGGATGTTAGTAAAAGCACAACCTATTACCTCATCTTCGGAATTTTCCCAGGGAAGAACAGTAATACGCTCGTCCACCTTGAAATCTAGCTCATCTTGTTCCTCGGATGTGTAAGCGAAAGCGGCAATAACCTAAAGTTCATGACAAATTCATTGATAATGATTTGCAACACATCCTTAATTAGCAGAGTCTATGTAGAGCCATGGTCTATTTGGAATATTTGTGAGGTTCCATAAAGTAAAGCTTAAGATGAGGCTTGGCTTTCGATACCCACTGCATACTTGCTTGTTGCGTGGACATTACCTATAAAGACAAGTAGTTTGTTCAGAATACAAAACTTTTTGTGAGTATTAACTTTGCTTACTCGTTAACTGATTCACATCCAAAGATAATTGAGGGTCAGTTGAAGTGTGCGTACTTTATGAATTCACATTTATTGTAGGCGTAAAAATAGGTCCACAGCGTTGGTAGAAGTTTTAAAATTAGGGGATCAAAATGCTCACTTCCTACTATAATTCATATTTTTTTCAAGAAAAAATGACACGAAATATGCGTCGTTTTAGGAGATGAGAAATATAGCTTACAGTAGCCTAGTGTGATAAATCAAAGAGATTACAACTTATAAGGCGAAACAAATATGCATTATCGTGCCGTAACATACCAAGCATTTATCTCCAAATTAATCTTTTTTAATGTAAATAATAGTGTAGAACTGGTTATTGTTACCATGATTAATCAAAAGACACCTTTAATTCTGCCTACATTGATGCATTCGAAAGTTTTCCAACTCGGCTGTTTAAAGGAATTTTGAGTTCGTCACCGGTTTGTTTCATAGAATGGTAGCATTCTGTTATAGAGTGGAAGTCCATGAAGATGTTTACTACATACATTTACACGAAATCAAGAGCCCCCGTAAAATATGCAAATTTATCGGCGTTGCATGATGGGACGGTGGCACATTCATGTGATCCGGGCACCAAATTAATTTGGCGCTGCTTGACATTGAATTCCACCTTCGCAAAAGTTCACAATGTTTCAAGTATATGATGTAAGCTCAAGATTAATGTAGTAAAATTTTAGAAGCCTGATTAAAGAAAAAATCAGGGGATCCTAGAAATTTACTGGTCCAAGCACTGCCACCGCCACAAACACACATGATTTAGTCTGTGATACCAAGATGATCGTGAATGACATGAACTTTAACCAATTAGCTTTCAATGCATAGTGAGATATAAATAAAACCCTTGAAATTATCAAAAGTTTAACTCTCGTCCCCATAGGCCCATAACTTCACTGCCTATGTTGGCTGTGAAATATGCATATGGACTTTTATATGTGACATCTCAACAGAGGCAGTCATACAAGCAATCTATAAATTGAAGCCGAAATGAAATGCTTGGTTGTCAAATAAGGGATAAAAGAGGGCAAGTTCACATTTTAGAGAAGCCTGCTGAAAATAGAATCTCGAGAAATTACGAGTTAAAAAATGAAAAATAACAAAAAGCTGTTGAAAATGGACCAGAGGATGGTGTTTTTACAGGGTTCACTCCCACCACATAACAATTAAAATGTTGGAGCAAGGTAGCTCATTTCGAACCTGAAATAAATTATCAGTACAGAAGCAGGTGTATATTTTCTTCATGAATTGCTCATTAGGCTCCTAATTGCCTCTAAATAAACCTCTATTCTCTACTTGGTTGTTTTTATGCATTCTATCATCGATTATTCCGTAAAGTCATCAACTTTTGAGTCAGCCTGCTGGAAATAAGTGGAAGCAGAAGAGCCCAAGTGAATGCTCCATTAACATCAATGTGATGTATTGGCAAATCAGTATGTATAATCCTTGATCAATGCTCTGAAGGAAATGGTTCAAATTTCTCGCAGTAAATAGACTAAGGTTTTGATGAATTAAAAAGTATTCAAGTAGGTAGATAGACAGAGATGTGGGACTTACATCAAAGGGCGGTGTGCGTGAGGCGAGTTCACTGTTGGCCTGATCGTGGGTACTAGTTCCTAAGCCGTTGTGCCTCGAGTCGCTGTTTGAGACAGTCGGATGAGTTGATGCCGCCGTGCCTTCGGCCTGATGGTCATCGGTAGCCGACTTTGGTGGAGGGTTGAGCGGCTGAGTGTAGGCATTATCATCTGCTGTGCTGCCGTTTGAAGGGGCCTGGTGTCCAGGGGGCTAAAAGTACGTTGTGATTAGCAGATATGAAATTGGGGTACGCGATGGCATCAGAAACCATGTAGAAAGCGGACTACCTTAATGATCTTGACTCAAGTCTATTAACAGTGCAAGCAGTCTGAACTGAACGCTTTAAAATTTCAGCAACGTATGAGATTTTAAGCAATGAAATGCGTCCGTTATTGCATTATTGTGTCTTTTTCGGAGTGTTTCCCGTAAATTACATTGCAATCAAAAGAACGCTTTTACTGGTATCTGAAGCATTACCACGGCACAGATACCAAACGATTTATGCCTTTTCACAAACTGATGTAATATTGACTGTTTTCATCCGTTGGAAATAATTAAACCGATACACCTTAAAATACTGGACTTTAGAACTGCTGTGCTGCACCACTCTGAATATTAGTTGTAAATAAGGCGCGAATTTTTAAATACTTTTAAAATTTCAATCGCTAGCTTCTTTTTCATGATGCCTATTCCAATATTCTTACATGAAATTGCTGAATGGTACCCGTTATTATTTCCTTGAAATTAATAACTGTCAACCAAAATGCCAAAATAAGTTAATAATACTAAAAAAATTGGTGATATATTAGTCGGCAGGTACTTAGAGTAGCGGTATTCTTCACTTCAGTTACGGATAAGAATGGCATTAATCTTCAGGATGCTAATTTGAGTGCCGTAACAGTCAACGATCAATTAATTGAAAAGAGTAAAGGTGTTAACTTACGGAGCTTGGAGAAAGTGGAGATACCCTACAAAGAGTAACGGTGGAGTCAAGCGTACATATGCCCGTACTTTACCTCAATGAATAAACTAAGAATACCTGGGGTATTTGGATGATGCAGGGTTAGACTCTCTTGCGAATTTCATTTGATTCAGTATTTTTCTTGTCTCCTGTAAAACAAGGAAGACGACTCAAAAGCACTTTGATTTGTAAACTGTAATGAGTACGTGGAAATTGAAAAAGGAACTGGTGATTCGCATATCTTGAGACAAAACTTTCCTCAATCTTGTCTAAATGCCACTGATTGTGTCTTTCTACGTGCTTAGACTGAAAAAGGGGACGAATGACGTGACAAATTAGTAAGATTACACGTATTCAGAAAACTTTTTTTTAGGTTATTGTAAGCAATGACTTATACTTATGAGCACTTAAAAAAATTAGTTAAACCCATTAATATCGGATTTTACTGCACATTATTGATGATATGTGTTTTATTACTTACACACAGTAATTTTGCTAATTTACAGCGCCTTTTTTCTAAATATTCGATGCATTAGTAAAGGCTCCGATTGTACTAAAAGCATGTCTGCTAAACTTAGAAGGTAAAACCCTATTCTCACCGAGAGTGTACTGTTCAGGTACTCGCATTTACTGGTGAAGTATTTCAGCATGTACTTGTAAAGTTCTTCATCATTCCTAAAAGGAGATATACTTCATTAGCTTGCCTTTGTGAATAAAGATACACGATGAGATCGGTTCTCCTATGATTATACAATCCTTTATCATGTTTAAAATCTACTGCCAAAAATTATGAAAAGGTTTATGGTTTGCTGTGCTTTAAAAGCAAGCATTTTTAAGGTTAGAGCTAGGGGTTATATTTAAATCCAAGAGGAATTAATGTGTTTTAACCATAAAATGCATATCAACATAGCAAAATATCATACCTACGTCCACAAAAAACCCACATAAGGTACCGAAAATCAGAGCATTACCGATTTCCAAATCATTTAATTTGACTGTGTTTTTCGTAATTCATAATACTGGTTGTGATTTACAGACAGCTAGCATTCACTTTAAAGAAATTTCAGATTCGATAGTAAACAAAACTGACATAAGATATTGTTAACGCTTTTGTTAAAATATGAACATACTTAGCAAGCATCTGAGGAATGCATTGGTCAAGTTCTTTAACAAAGTCGCTAAGTTTCCGGCGCGAATCCTCCATTACCCGTTTCTCCTGATCATAAATAAGGGCGTGCATTTATTTAAGGAACCTTGTTATGTGCCGTGGGTTTTTAATAATCAAAAATGATCATTTTGCATCATGAACTAAGTCGTATAATTTAAAATAAGGTGACTCGATCCGCATAGTAAACTCCCCTGTCATATAATGCTGTATGACATTTCTTCTACTATGCATTATCACATGGATATTATAGAGGATTTACAATACCATGACTACACTGCTTAGGCCTAGGTTTTGCAGTTTTTACGCAATACAGGTAGCATACGATGACTTGTGAAGCGAAACTATGCTACTAAAATTCACAGATGGCAGCTGGGAATCTTGTATATCTTAGGCTTCTTCAGGAAAATAAAAATGAGGAGAAATTGAGAGGATGATAACAGAGGCCCCGATCTTTTGGGTCATTCTTGTGGGACATCATAAAATGACAAACAAGTTGGACTTTTGCAAAAGTACGCTGCAGTCACTTTATAGAATTAAGTATTTAAAATTTCTAGGGTACACCAGTACAGTGATTTACGCTCACAGAATATCCAAAGGGTGGCATTTAATAAGTCCGTCAAATCAATCAGCATTCAAACTAAAGTAAAAACAGGACTGACCTGCTCCTTTTCCTGATCATTTGCCTTCTCGTGCATATTCTTGTTTGCAAGATAATTTCTTTTAAGCACCTCTGCGTCTTTGATTCTTTTCTGATACAGGGGGAGAGTTAGTTAATAAAAGGTTTTGCTGACCGAGGCCTCTTCTAACCTGCTCTTTACTTCTTTAAGTTCTTTTTCAAGATCACAAGTACTGGAATCGGGAAAAAACGTTAGAGATCTCTGAAAGCTAATATTATTTTTAAACATTAGTACCTCAATATTGTCTCGAGTCTCCTCCTTTGAGCTAAAAGAATGTAGCAGAGCGCTTTCAAATTCTACAGTTGGTTTTTCAACTTCTACAAGTAAAACGTTTGATTGATAGCAAACCCTGAGCGTGAGTCAGATACTTTTTCCATTGCCCAGCAAGTTCCCGCACAAGTGACTAAAAGCAAATTATTCATAATTGTTAGTCACCTTTTGTTTCTTTACGTGGACTTTGAATTGCTCAAGAGAATGGATTTCTGATTCGTTTGTGGGAGTGCGAGATAGTCCCAGCTGGTAAAACAGGATTTTATTCTCTCAAACCAAGCTTACCTTTTGCTCTGTTTTGACAAAGGTTGCTCTCACTTTCCGGCTAAGCCTATTCTTTACACTGCTCATAGTAAAATTCCTATTTAATAAAAAACAAGTCTGAAATGTTTACGATGTCCTGAGTGAATTCGAAAAAAGCGAAACTGTCAGAAGACTGACATTGTATTTACCCAATCGTGTGCAGTGCAGTTTCATCTGTAGCATTATAGTGCTTTAAATAAGCATTGCTAGCGATTACCCTACAACGCTAAGTTGAATTTTACTTACGAATTAATCTAATTTTACACCTATTGTAACATATAAAGTTGAAAAATGGTCTATGGGGCATCGTACCAAGAATCACTACATTCTGTGGCAAAATTACTATTTTACAAACTCTGCATGTGCGTCACATCAAAAACTTAACCAGTTTAGTATCTTACGCCGTACAAATATTACTGTATTAATAACTAAGTGGCGCGCAGCAACGTCAAAATTTAAAATTAAAAGTTTGTGGGAAATTGTGTGTTGATGCTACACAGTCAAAACCCAAACAAGCAAGAAAAATTTTAGGATGTGCAAAGCAAAAGATGCGGAAACTGCAGAATATGGACTTCACTTATGACTCTTCCGAACAAAACTTTTATCCCATGTATTTAAACACAAAGTTAAAGAAAATGCTTATTTTCTAAAGAATGAAGTGGGGCATGAAACAATGTTTATTTCACTTTGATGATGACCACTGAAATGCAGAAAACACAACGGACTCAAAAGGGACCTAATATTACCTCGATCCCCTCTGAATTTTACATGGTTTTAATAATTTAGTTATAAAGAAACATTTAATTATGTACGTGGAATAATACTGGTTAAGTTTACGGTGAATGACTTACTGCGCACAGTGTCAGATTTAAAAGTCTGGCTTTAATAAAATTGATATAAACCAAAAGGAAATGAGAATGGGCTTATGTAAATTTGATTAAGATGACCAAAAAAACTGCTACTTGAATTGAATTAACTTGAAGTGAAATTTTACAATACTTAGGCAACGGATGCTCTTAAAAAAGACAATAATTACTTGTGTTACGGTGCAGGCCGATTAATTCGAAAAATTTTGAAAGTCTGTTTTGGCTGCAAGTAAATTTCAATTTGGGGTTAGATTTACCCTATGTAATGCAAGCAATTCAAGGCAGTCAGTTGTGTTTCCCGTCCGTGTTGAAACCTGGGAAAATCGACCAGAAATACAAATTGTCGAGGATATAGCGGATAGTCTGTAAAGAAGACCGAGGATGCAACAAAAATCTTACAACAGATTGGAACTTCTATTTGCATCCAGGATTAAGCGTTTCCTCTGAATGACCGTATTTTATAGGACGTTGCTGCTAACCAACCGAATAGGAGTACTTAAATATCCATTGGAGTCCTCCACTTTCATATTTCTTGCTGTTCTCCTCTTACATTGAACAAGATCAACCCATCATGCCAAATTTCAGCAGTCAACTTCACCAATATTGAAACATTACATTGGTTGGAGTTCAGGCAAAAATTTTGTCAATTCCCGAGTATAATTTTCATTTTTAAGGCGGAATGTTTTTTGGTCCTTTTTTAAGTTATCAACGAGAGGGCAATGCCTTAATTAATAAGGATGTGGATATTTTGCACGAAGCTTCCGCTTAAACGGGTTTCCCGCTTCGAATGATTTAATAATGATCTGGTCATCAATGAATGGAAAATTCCGGTCTTCTGGCTTAGTGACATGTCAACATGAGGTTTACTTTCGCAATCCTTAGTGGATTATGTAGCAACTTCTCAAAGGTATTGTAAATTTGTTATTTATCTTTCGAGCCTTTGTCATAATGTCTGAATATTTTGCCTACTTATGACATCAAGGATTGAATCCATTTTGTAGTAAAACAGCCTATTTTGAAGTCGAACTTAATTGCACAAGCTTGCTGCTTGGCGCTATCTGGGTTGGTAGTTGGCTACGTCTTCTGGCTGTTTATTGACACTCTTTTGTTTACTCCACTTTTCTGTGAATGATATCCCATGCTTGCTGGACGAGGTTGTGTATTATGTAAAAAGCATACAACCCTGTATTCTGTTAAATAAGTTGGATGTTAGGCAATTATTACTAAAACTTTTTTATCATTTAGGTGGGAAGTCGCATGAATAATTTATCAAGGAAGTGCCCTGTAATTGCTATTTGTGGCGCTACAGGTACAGGGAAATCAAAACTAGCTATCGATTTAGCAAGGCGCTTGGCTGGAGAGGTCATTAACGCCGATGCCGTTCAGCTCTACAGAGGTCTTGATATTGCCACAAATAAGGTAATTACGATGTTAGGTCATGGCTATTTATATGTTTTCCACCGTTATTTTCTTCATTCATGTCTGTCCGATATCAAGCTTCTCCTAAGTAACTTACTTGTCGTCGGCATGACGAAACTACTTTTAAAGATGATTTATTTTTTATTTTGATTCGGGCTTTTACAGATGTGGGACCCTGTTCGTGCTTTTTGGAAGCCATTATGGTGCACTCAAATGGATTTCAGACCTATTGGTTATCAATTTGTAATTAGTACTAGTCTGCTTATGTGAAGGCTTAAGCAAACGGTCAAATCCGAAAGCTTCTTGGCCTACGCAGATTGACTACTCTCGGACTACCCATGCATAAGTATACCAACCCATACTACACCAGGTGACGCAGGAGGAGGCAAAGGATGTGGTTCACCACTTGCTGGGTTGTCTGGATCCGGTAGAAGGGTTTTGTTACAACGTGCACCACTACCGCCGCGACTGCTGTCGCCTAATCGACGCGTTGAGGGCACGCGGGGTGACGCCGGTGGTGGTCGGTGGGACGCACTACTACCTTGAAGCAGTTCTCTGGCTGGACTTCCTCCGCCCTACAGACGAGCGGAATTTTAAGGAGGAGGTGAAGGCGGGGGAGGTAAAGGCGGCGGCAGCGGATACGGGCAAACTGCAGCGCTCCTGGCCGACTGGACTTCTGTAAAGTGAAATATTGATGTCACTCTTAAAGTATTTATGCTGCGTCTCGCTTTTTTCTACTTGTTCATTCATATTTTGTACTTCCCATTGCGATGTTGGATTTGCTGTGATCTTACCGCGCATTAATATCCGTCAGCAAGATGTATGGTACCATTAGGTTCCGTGAATGACAAAAAAATATAGCAAAAATGCAAGTTGTTTGGACCAAAGAGACGTAAAGACTAACAAAGTAAGTTCGACAAACGGTATGCAAAGTTTGCTTCGATGCGCATCCTCACTGTTTCGAATCTCTTCGTTATGTGTAAAGCATTTTAGGCATTTCTTTTGGTGCTTTTCATTTGAAATGTCAAAAAATAATGCGGGAAATGAAAATGTTATGACTCCTGTTCAGGCGATAATGGAATCGTTTGATCATTACTGAGAGCAAATACTTCGGTACTATGAGAACTTCCATTTCCAACAAACAAATTCACACTCAAACTTACCGTAAAAGTTTGTCTGGTTTGCCCAAACATCAAGTGGTTAAAAGTGGTGCTTTTGGAAACTGTCACGTGCAGTTTTGTTAACCTGCTAAGGGAATTTTAGAACTTGGTAAGCAAGTATATGGACAACCAGCCAAACCGCTAGTGGTACAGAGTTTGATGAGCTTTGAAGCATCTGGAAGCTTCGTTTTAATCAGCAAAGGCCTCTTCTGGTACTCGCATTAACTTTTTGTTGACAAAACTGTAAAGACCTTATTTTTTAGGTTGATTGTCTCCTGATATCTTGCTTTCTGCCTTCGAATCTCGCCAATTTCATAGCTGATGTCCACTTCTTGATAAAAAAGCAGTCAGTTTTGCTCTGACGAGCGATATTATTCTTGGAAAAAACGTGAACTATTTTGTTCTGAATTTCGGATCCGCGTGAGATTTTGTAGGCTTCTGTTCTAGGTTGAAATCTCTATGATGCCTTTCGAATTCTTCTGAGTTTGAAACATATGGGGAGCATTGCCAAGATTTTCCTCTTGAACTGGATGTGCCTAGTTTATACCTGTGGTGCTTAGGAATCTCTCACTGGGTTGCTCTGAGGACGGTCATTTCGCATAAGTAGGATTATGCCGAACATTCCCTCGCCTTCTTTTTAAGGATTTTCATCAGAATGAGTCAAACAAAGCATTTTCCAGGATGTGCCTTTGGAGTTTATCCGTGGGAAATGGCAAATTCTTCAGTATCCGCAAATAATGCAAAACGGTCTTTTTCCAGTCTGATGGACTGGTAAACTATACTGTTCCTCCTAGGGCACGTTTGCCAGAGGATCCAAAGGATTACTACGCTGCCCTGAGCAATGCTAATCCGGAGGCAGCCATGCGTCTTCATCCAAACGACACTAGAAAGCTTCAGCAGGCTCTTCTGATCCATCTTTCCCGTGAGACGACCAATGCATCCACCACCGGCGCGTTGTCATCACGGATGTCAACCAATCGGAGCTCTTGTCCGCGCTATCCTCCACCAGACAGTCTCATTTTTTGGCTCTATTGCCAACCCTCGGTGCTCAAACCTAGTCTGGACGAGCGAGTTATAAAAATGGTGCAGCGTGGGCTCATACGTGAGCTGGATGAGTTTCTCGTTGCTGCCGCCAAATCTCTTCTTCCAAATGGTCCGGTGGTCAACGAAGATGGCAGTGAGTGTTGGAGATCCCTAGGCGCATAAATCTGTGTTGACGGGTTATTGTTCACACTTTCCCTCTTTTCATTAGCTGCTCTCTCTGCCTATAGATGTTATTCATTCCTGACTTCATTGAAGCATTAATCCCCTTTGCTGCTAGTTGTTGTCCAGATGGAAATACAACTTATCCCATTTAAAGCTAGTCCGTTATTTTAGGCTTAGATTTTGATCGCAATTTTCTCTCTATCTTGTACTAGCGCCGTCACTTGTACGTGTGCTTTTATCCACCATATTGTTGACTATGAAGCTGCTAAAACAAGCTGTGTTTATCCTCTGAATTTTCTTCTACTGGAAAAGACTGGTTTTTCTCTATGCGTACTAGTTCCTATCATCTCTTAGAGCCATAGTAATAGCCTGTTTTGCCTAGTAACGTATTCTGAAGCCTTGCAGTTTCGATTTTTGATCCTATAAGTACCTACCAACGCGTTTTTTGGATAGATGAAGGAATCATAGAGATTGTAGTAGTGAAAATGATTACAAGACTATTTTATTGTGACTGGTAATAAAACTGTTCTCTTCCTCTTAGGGATCGTTGTCACCACTAAAGGTTCATATACTATAATTTCAAAATTAGGGTATCATTTTAGGCGATGCTTTTTTTAAAAATGGAAATATTTTATCATGGATGGTGGTTTTGATACTGTAGTAGTGCCGTCTGAATGAGTTAGCATCGTGGTTGCCTATTCCCTTTTTTCTTTTTGTGATTTGTTACAGTACGTTAGCGAATTGAAAGTTGCTAACACTATCGGTTGATAAGTCAATTCTTCACCGTATCTATTGGTAACCTCTTGTACATTTATAGCTGTTAACGAGATGGCAAAGAAGGCGCTATTCCAGCTCGCCAACAAGGGCCTTCTGCCCTCAGTCGGTACGGAACACTGGTGTCGCGGTGTTCTACAGAGCATTGGGTTTAAGGAGTTTGAGGATTTCCTCCAACTGTCACCGCCCAAAAGAGACTCTCCAACCGGCGAGATGGTGCTGAATGAGGCCATCAAGAAGATGAAGGCTGCCACGCGACACTACGCTCGACGACAGGTCTGTTTGTTTTTTATTCCGAACTGGTCCTCAAGGCGTGCTCAGGACACCGGTGAGTTATTCATACTGAATGTCTAGAGTGCTGGAAGCTCATTTGACGTAAGCAGAAGCGCGAAAATGGCTTACTGATTCTGGTTTGGTGGATAAAGTAAAAGTGAAAAAAATTCGTAAAGCGTATCATAATGTACAAGAATGGGAACGCATTCACGAGTGTGATAATCCAATTCGGGAGATGAATATGAAATATATAAGGCTTTTTCAAAATTTTTATCATGATCTCCAAGTGACGTCTGTTGACTCCAGCGCTGGCATTCATTTAAAGATAGGGTAGTAGTATCATATAGTGCAGATGGAAATCGTGAAATTTTTTTGTTATTATTAGTGTTCTTGAAACTCCATATAGGTTACGCGCTGAAGTGTATCAGAGGTCTTAAGCTTTATGAATAGCTTTGTCATTGATTTTCACCATGCAGCATAAAATACTGTAAAATCGGAAGTCATCAATGTAATCAACAACTAGGAAATTGCGCAAACTCAGGAAAGTGAGTAATACGCTCTTGCCGAAAATTGCCCTCATGCACCCATTTTACAAAACGGACATTTGCATCAGACCTGGTTTGGATATCGATAATAGTCATGATAACTTGGAAAAAACGGGTCCATCTTGCACGTGCAAGGTTTAAACAGATGCCTCTATTGTGTTGAAAAATAGCCTATTATGGTAGAAATATCACTAGGGGACTTCCACTATGATGGAAGCAAAGTTGAATGAATGAAACGAAATAAAGTTTACTGTGTTGTCTAGATTTTCCCCAAAGGGCTACTGGGCACACGAGTCTGATGGTAGCTGTACCAGAAAGGTACGGAAGGACTAATGACATAGCATGCGTTAGCAGGGCTTTATCCCACCAGCACAGAGATTGCATTTCGGGAGTCTCAGGAGTCCGGGCTGTAGCAAATGCAGTTAAATGCCATTTTACCACAACTATGTACCACTGAATATGCGTATAAATGCTTTCCCTCTCTGCCTTTGTTCAGCTGTGCTGGATAAACAATCGATTTCTTCGGCGTCCTGCTCTTGGTGGCATTCCTGTCTATCGCCTTGACGTAACACCCGTGCTGACTGCTACTTCGCCCGAAGAAGCGGAGTTAATCTGGAGCTCCAAAATTATCGAACCTTGCCTTGCTACCTTGAGTGGGGAGGAGAGCTCTTCACTGTTGATTCCAGAGCCGTTTGTGGAGCCATCTTCCGCCGATGCTTCAGAGGTCCCACCTCCTCCCTACATCTGTGCAGCCTGCAAAGGACGTGTTTTTGTCAATCCACTCCAGTGGAAGGAGCACCTTAACAGCCGATCACATAAGAAACGAGTGGCTACTCTTAAAAAACAAACCGTATAAATGTGTTTTTTTAATAAATCAGCTTATTTATTACCGCATTCCTCTTCCCATAAAGTGTAGCAGTTTAGGTCTGTGACGGTAGATATTTGATACTGAATAGAAACAGAGCTTCTGTTAATTCGATTTGGCAGTGTTTTCCTCACTCGACGTTTTAAGGAGCATGATTTCATGATGAAATTGTTTTAATGTCTCCTTGTCAACTTTGCTTTGTGCTTGAACAATCAAAGCTCATACAGAAGTGAACATCCGTGTTTCTCATCTTGCAACAGGAGTGAGATGGAGGGATGATTTTGGAAATATTTTTTCAAACCGTGCAAAGAGTGCTCTATCTTATTAAAGCCAATATTCTCAGTGATACTCCTTACTCAAATCTATCGGGAAACCCACGCTCCACTGATTAACTTCACTACAGGCATCAATTCATCGTTCGCAGATCTGAAACGTTTTCTGGCAATCTCAGTTGCCTCAGTCTAAAAGTTCAACGACTGATAGAGCCAGTACGCCCCACGCATGCCTCTGCTTTTTAATTTCACCGCTTTAGGATCCTAGTGACATCATTTGGCGGGCTCCTCTTCCCGGCGCTGTGCCACTTCCTGGGACGGTGGCCATTCTCCCTTTCCTGTTTGCAGTCCTCTGTCATTATCAGCGGTTCCACAAAGCGAAGCATCAGATAATCCTCCTCTCTCTTTTTTGGTCCCGTGTTTCCCCGCATGTTTCTCATGCGTTCGTTTTGAAAGGAGAAAGTTTGACAAACCGAAGTTTAATACGTGTTTACCCGGGCTGAATGTGGACTTGGCCAAACGTTTTGTTGAGATCTCCAGGCCAATTTGTTTGTCAAAGCAATGGTGTATTTGGTAAATCAAACAAAACATTATCGGCGTTGGATGTGGTATCTATAACGCGAAGTTGTTGCAGTCAGCATTTAGTACGTTAAGACTTCATATCGGTGTTATTTTTTTGGTTTTGATAACTAGCCACGAAACTTAGTTGTTGGCTATTTTTGCGTATCACTTCCAATTACCATATTTTGGAATTATTGCTCTTGTTAACTTCAACTAGAATTGAGGAGCTTTGTGGTAATATCTTCTACCACAGCACTACAGGTACACAGTTCCGTGCAACTGCATTAAATCTCATCTATTTTTGATGTGCTTCTCGTCCAAGTTGATAGTCATTTATCGCCGTCGGGGAGTAGCGCAGATGGTGCACCCTTTTAACGTCAATCCTTCCAGAATAGATCGCTTTTAGCCCAATGTTCTTGTTCCCTGACAATGGTTCCTCTCTATCACATGCGAAATCGGTTTGATTGATTCCGCTTTTCTTCATTACGCCTTGTTTTTTAATGCGACAAAACCAATTTTAATGTTCATATTGGCGTTATCAAGTGCCACTTTGCAGCGCTCATCTTTGGTTTCCAAACTTAGGGTAGATTAAACGTGATACGACATCTCTTTATGCTCGAAATAGCCATTTTTGAAAGTTCCTGTTGGCCCACTCACTCCGAAAGATTTTGATAACATGGCAGCAATTTTATTCTTGTGCGTTTAGATTCGAATTCATCCCGCTGCTGCACCTCTAAGTTTGTGGTCATGATCATGAGGTGCCCTAAGCTGGTATATGTACTTGGTCTAAGTGGATCAGATGCTTTGCTAATTTTTCTTTCACTTTTGGAATGCTGGTTCGAATTGGTGCTTTTTGAGCATCTTTTTTCTCAAGCAATTGTCAAATTAGGTTCGGAATCCCTGTAATGAAGATAAGGTTTTAATAGAATTAGAAAAAAAAAAGACAATTTTCATTTTTCTTAATGCTCCTTCCTGATTATCATAGCCCATCAATCAGCTGTTTTCATGTAGCGCACCCGCTAGTATTTCAACTGTTAACTCTACTTTAGTCAAAATATTCTTAATTTTGCCAGTTTTAAAGAGAATATCAGGTTACTGTATGATGTACAAATAAGTTGAACTGATCTACAAAATGTTAACTTTTTCTCCACAATTGCCAAATTCGGATGGCACTATAGGAAGCTATCACTTTTAATATGCATCACGCTTTTTGAAAGGTGATTTACAGCTTTCTGTAGCCTAGCATTTCAATGCAATTATTAAAATAGGTTTTCATTAACTATTTCAAAGGATCCCCTGATTATAGTATCAAATTACTTATGCCTACTTTCTTTTCAAAATCAAACTTGTTTCTGTTTGTTTTTTTCCTTGTCATGCTCCACCCGGCTCTTTCATATGTACCATTTCCAGACTATCCTGTGTGGGCATTCTTGGGCTGGTTTCCTACAGGCAGACACGCCCAACACCTGTGGTATACCGATGCTCCTTCCCAGGTCCTACCCTCTATCCCATTAAAAGCAGTTCAAAATTAAGCAAAAGGCGAGCATTATCTGGGCTGAAGGCCAAGACTTGACTTGTGATGTAGGGAATAGGGATAATGTCCCTCATAAAGATCTCAAGAAAAAAACGTTCTGGGAATGGGTTCTTCTGAAAAATTAGCTGGGTAGGAGCGGATATGCTCTTTTGGTTTGTGTTCAAATGGGTCACTTAGGTTCGGAACTAGGTACTTTCACTATGAAACGGCGATCTGTATCGCTTTCGGTATTGCTGTTGATACGCCATTGAATAAAGCTGCATGAGAATTTTAATTTATCACCCCTGATAGCTGCATCTCACCCGCGAAATTAATGCTTATACCTTGGAATCTTTGGATCTCGCGGCCGCTTTGGGAAATTGAACTGATTTCAATGTGAAGGCCAGTGGTGTTACTTTTGCTCGCATTTACAGTGAACTAAATCATTCCTCTGCGCAAAATTGTTTCCTTATTTCGATACAAATCACAGCTACGGTCTTCATTCACCCTTTTTCCTTGCCTTCCAGGTAACATTTTTGTCGATATTTTCAAGGAATGAAAGAGCATTTAATTTTGTCTTTGTATCTACTTAGTAAATGGCATCATATTTTAGTTAATCTTCTTTTCTTTTAAGAGCGGAGCCTGAATATATGTGTTATAGCGGAATGGATAGTGAAATTCCAGTTCAAATTTACGCGAAATGTGCTTGCATAATTTAGGATAGAACCTTTTGGATATGAATGGAATACTGCCAAAAAATGTGACATTAAAGCGAGGGAGAAATAGATCCGAGGGAAAATTCGCGTTAGCTTTTCTCTTCTGCGCCGTCTAATGTCATTTAAGCTTTTCACGTTTAATAGAGTACGGTTAGGTCGTAAATTCAATATTGTTGGGCACTAATCAACTTTATCACTCCTGCGCCGCTACTTTTAATGCTCTCTAATGTTTTCACCATAGTGGTCTGCCTAAGAGGTTCGAGTCGAGTTGTTCTGCTGTTCGTATAGTGGGCTATGCCGGAGCTATCAGAATAGGATCTAAACCTATTGGGAAGTGTTACATGATTGCATATGGGCACCTAAGGCGCTAAAAAACATCAGTCGACTGATTTCTACAAATTAAGCTTGGGACTTACACGTTATCACAAATATCTTTATTCAAAACCGATGTATATTATGTCTTAGGGAAGATAATTAGTGACGAGAAAACAAACAAATCCACATAAAATCGTTATCCAATGTAGCTGGAAGACGTGGTAGAACATTAACGTATTTGTTGTGTCCAGAGTAGGGGTAAATCAGGATGTGGATTATGTTCTAATAACAAGTAGTTCCGAGCATTGAAAAACTGCGCAATTTTCGTCCTACTTTAAGTTTTTATGAAGTACACTGAGTAAGAAACCATGTGTCTACTATTTCTTTATTTATATAATGTATTTTGTTCGAAGATGTTGAAGTTTTCTCTCATAGTGCTAGAATCTGCTGATAAAAATCGTGATTTCTAATTTGGATTAAAATCAAAATTAGGTAATCTCAGTTGAAAAGATTAGAATTCAGCAAACCTACTTTGATCAGGAAAAATATTTTTATGCTTTAAGCCGAGGATTTTATATTATAATTCTAAAATAACCCACTTTTTCTGTTCATTTGCACTCAAGACCTAGTGTTCCTATCCGTAATGACAGTTTTTATTAATCTGGTAGCTATTTGTAGGTTATTACCTTACTGTCGATGCTTCACAAAAGAGCTACCGTATTCTTATTTCTAGCACGCTGAAGTTCATGTGGATTTTGATAATGGGCACACTGGTTGGTGGTTATACTGCGGCTTCCCACCCACCCGTTGTCCTCTCTTCCCGCACCCTATGCAAACAAGCCGAAGTCTTGTATTACTAGCTTATCCATTGTCAATATTGCCGTTATTAGATTATCACTTCATCTGCTTCTAGTTTACTTCATTAAATTTAATCGAATATTGAGTAGAAATTTGTTTATCCGCCTACTTTTAGCACCAGCCTATATACTACCGCTCTCAAACATCATGATTGACTTCGAACAAATTATTCCTGTTTTTAAAGGCCAAACTAAAGCACTTGTCTTGACCTCTACTAGTTCCAGTGAGCTTTCACCACGACTAAGTAACCATTTCAGGAGCCATACACTTGGACCATGTTCTTCCGCTTGGAAGTCTTCCCAACTGCTTCCGTATGTGAGTGAACGCTTATTTAGGGTGTTAAAATAGGTAACTTCATTATTTCCCAAATCCCCGCAGTGTTTGCCAATAATGAATTCTTCCAAAACGGCAGACTTGTCAACGTGCAAGATAAGTAAACATTTATTGTTGGACAGTAAACATCAATAGGTTTTTTAGGGTGTGATTTCTGAAAATTCCATATTTATCTTTCTCGTGTCCCCGAATAAGTTTTCAGCGTTTTAATTTATAATTATAAGTCATTTATTGTCATAAAAGTGGACTTGTGGCGGACTAGCCCTCCTTTTTCCTTTATATATATTTATTTTGAATGCATTTTCTGCAATTTGTACTGTTAGATGTTAGTCCAGTGGATACTTACTTTAAAGCGATCCCCGAATTTTTCTGAATGAGACGACTTTTACTTTCCAGTATCTGACTTATATGTTCAAGATCGGTACTACTTAATGATTAGGTACCTTTAACTATTTTGAACAGTTTCTCAAGTTGTTATAGAAGTCGAAAGCACTTTTTTAAAACCCGGTGATGGTTGGCGGTTATTTGGACATTAATGGTCAACAAATGCCTATCCGGCGAGGAGAGACATGGGTGTTGATCCCACGCACGAAGGTACACATTAGAACATGGCTAATTTGAGGATGGGAACTGTTCTCCCTTAATGATTTTTTCGGTGTTAATAAACTTGTCTACGGTTCAGATAGAACATTATCTGCTTTCAAATAGCACTCTACTACGTTTATGCATTTATTCTATTAGTTCAACTCTAGCACAATTGAACCACTCTACGCCAAGCTATTTCATTTTACCATCGGTGCTGAAATGCTGACTCCCTGAATACTCTTTTCAGGTTCTGGAAAAGCAAAAGATGTGGTAGCATTTCTTTGCCAAGTTGTGATATCCACATAGTACGGTGATCCAAACGATCACCCTCACCTTGTCAAAGAGGTATACCTTTTTGTTAACCTTTTCGTTAATCTTCTCTTAAAAGCCTAAAATACCTAAGTTCTTGGCACTGATAATTCCAGAAAAGTTCATGCAAACCTATTTCCTATTTAAAAACCCTTTTTAATGGTGAAGTTCAGTGCTCTCACTCACAAATCATTCCCAAATGTCTGTAAAGGAAATTGTAGAGCACTATCTTTATGCGGCTTTGATTACATTGAACCTTGTGCCTAAGTGTTCCAACTGAGTAGCCTGAAATTTTTAAGATCAACAATCACTGATGTTTCAACAAGGTAACAATTTCGTTTTAAGGCTCTAATGCAAATAAATTGGCTTTGGATTATAGAGTTTTCTGATGCTGAATGAAGGCCTCAACCATGTGCTTATATGTGTACCTATTGAAAGCACCGAATCAAATTATTTACAGTTCGGCCGTTGTTAAAGCAAAGGCTTCCGCAAAGTCATAATGCGGGACGCTCACGGTGGCAACAAGTAACATCATCATCAAAGCTTGCAGGTTTTATGGCCGCCTGCCAAGACATTACCTTCCCACCTCTACCGTTCGTCCGGCCGTTCACCTTTATGCCCCTCCCACATTCTCCTGCCCTCACTGCACCCTCAACCTCAGTGGAGGTAAAAAGTATGACCAGTCAGGAAGGCGGTGACTCACCCACTTGTCCTTTATGTGTGTTGTGATGGCATGATGCGCTTTTTACACAAAGATCGGAATTTTGTTTTGAAATGTTGATTTTAGTGAAAGATTGCCCGTTCAATGCTGTCCGATTCATTATGGATATGTGATGCAACTTCATGTCAGTTTGACGAACGCTAAGTGCTATTTAGATTTTTCTTAAAGTGGTGCCGGTAAAAGGTTTACAAACTTTACTACCACACCCTATATTGCTCACTTCGGTTGCGTTATTGCAAGTGTCGTTGGAAAATTCTAAAATTACGTACCTTTGTGTAAATTGGTCGATTAGTCTTCAAACAAGAAACTTCATCAAACAAAATTTACAAGTCGGTACCATTCGGGATCCTAGTAAACAAGTGCAACAGCATATAGATGTAACAGATAGAGAAAACTGTTGACGTTTTTTAGTGCATAGGGTTACACCTCCGCTATTGTTGTGTAAGATTCGCCACGCCTACAGGCACAAAACACTTATAACCAGTATTAAGAACCGGTGTTCTTGACATGCAAAAGACACCCAGACGCAAGATTTTATAGTACTTTTTTAGTGCGTATACTCAGGTCTCGGTGATGTTTATTTGCCAAAAATTGAATTTTGGCAAGGCGAATGCAACTTCTTCAAAAGTCATTTGACTTCATGATAGTGGTGACTGACAAGTAAAAGTTGACTTAATTTGGTTCAAACAGATTAGAGAAACCTTCTAAATAAATATTTAGGGAATCAAAACTGGAGTGCATTGATTTCCGTATTGGGGGTTGGGATAGAGTCCTTAAGTATTTACTATGGGTTAATTACTTTAAGCTGAGTGCATTTTAAGCGATGCTAGTCTGTTATCTACGGCGAATTCTGTCAACGGGGCCTACGTTTTTTTCTGCTTCATTTTGCAATGGAATTGTACAGGAAGTGTTCTCTCTGACTTACGGATGATGATGAATGGTAAAATTCAATTTGGATACATGTCAAATAAAACTACCGTTAGGTGATATCATTAGCATCTGTGCACGATTTTGTAAAGAGAAACACAGTGAACTATTTATAGAACTGTGACTGCAAATTTCGCCTTTTTAAATCACTATTGAAAGATGCATCTTATTTATCCTTCGTCAGTTTAATTTGGTGAATATCATCCCCTTTTTATCTGAAGAAGCTCATCCGGCTTCTGCTTAATGTCAAACTTAATCTCAAGACAAAAGCGATATCATTGCGTTTTTCATAGTCAAGAATTCTTGGTTGATGCCAAGTACTTAAAGTAAATTGAGGGTATATCGAAGACAAATAAGACCGTGCTAAATTATCCATCTCTTCTTATGAAAAATTGGTCAGTATAGGAATTCGTGGTACTTGGTAGATAACTGAATAATTTCTGCATCATCAGGAAACCTTTAGCGGGTCATTTCAATTTTCAGCATGTCATCTCTTGATGCATTTGTTAAAACTGACACCTTTAAAGGGTAAGGCATTCTAGTGACCTAGAATATGACATCTCGACATTTCTCAGCGCTTCAGATCAAATAGCCTCTCAAGTTTTTAGCTTCCAATCTGATTTTTGGCGCGACGTCTCATAGTAAGAGCTTAGGCTTATTATTGATCTGATATAAATCCTACTTATTTTGAGCTTATTTGTCAATCTTGACTAACCATGCAGTCAAGATTTGGTATCTTATTTTGAAATCCGTATGATTTTCCATCTAACTCCGAATCCGATTATTTTTGTCGATTATTGTTTAGCAGGTCTGGAAAAATAATGAAACAATTTAGCATAAATAGTGAATTTTTTATTCTAATTTGTTTTTAGGTCTTAAAAGGGTAGACGAAGCTGATTGGTCAGGACCCCATTAACCGTTGTTCAGATGTCTGGTGCCATTGGATTGGTTTCTAGGTGAACGAAAATGTCAGTGTGAATCGCTTATGCACCTTATTCGTCACCCTAGCCACTGATACCACCCGCACACCTGGGGCTTTCTTCTGATCACGTGATACAGCGGATGTTTTTGGCATTAATTTCCTCCCCAATCGTGTAATGCCACTTGCATAGGAAACACTACTCTTGTAGAATGTTTTGGTTTACTCTCTCACTCTTAGCTCTCTTGCAAATTGTTGCTGCAATAAATAGCACTACCTACAGCGAAGTAGCAAGACTCATTCAACAGCACGGTGAAGGCCGAGAAAATCTAGACGTGGTTGGCCTGCGTCCTCCATTACCCAGCGACAAGTTCAACAACAACTACATAGAAATTCCAGAGATCATAGATAACGCAGTTCATGAGGAACAATTTCCACCAGCCGGCAGACTGCCTCCAGGGGCTCAGTGGAATGAAGAAGGGCAGTACTGGGGATATCAGCATTCACCTCCCCGAAGAGTTGCCTGGAATGAAGCTACTTGTGTTCCACCGTACTGCATTCCAGCTATGTGCTCGGATACAGGTACGGGACCTCTGTGTCCCCAAAACTGCGTAACTGAAAACTGCAGTGTCGGATGTTTTCCTTTTTGCATTGGCGGGTCCCAGTGTATTGGTAGAATCTGTCATTGTGACGCCTTCCGAAGGCAATCTGCATGCAACCTAATTAGGTCTTCAGACTGCCAGAATTTCTTTGGTCTCTCCTGTGCATTCGGGTGCTTCAAGCCAGCAACAGATATTCCACCATCTGGTTGCGACTGCTTAATTCCGTTTTACGTGCGTCTCCAGCCTATGTGTGCCACAGAAAGTTTGCTTGCATGTCCCAATAACTGCTCAAACCACGGAATTTGTGATCACAAGACTGGCCAATGCATGTGTAATCCTGGCTTTACCGGTCCCAGCTGCTCTTCAAAGGATTACTGTTTCAACAGTCTCGAACTACCTCCCTGTGAATATGGATGCATTTCACTAAATAACAGCCGTCTGTGTACTTGTCCAGAGACATTAGTTCTTCAACCTGATGGAGTCAGCTGTGGTAATCCCTGTCCTCCAGGTCTAACTGGACCACAATGCTCTTATGACATTGATGAGTGTCTAACAGGAATCCACGAATGCGAGTATTATTGTGTCAATACATTTGGCTCGTATGCATGCAGATGTCTTCCAGGCATGACTCTAAACCCTCGCGACAACCGGACATGTATCGGACGAACCTGTGATCCTCCATGTTTACCTGAACAAGGGGAATGTATCACAGGTGGGGTGTGCAAGTGTCGACCCGGATTTCAGGGTCCCAGCTGTGAGTTTGACGTGGACGAATGCGCTATAGGGACTAGTGGATGTAATCACGACTGCATCAACACCTTTGGTTCATTCCGATGTCTTTGTAGACCGGGCTACGAGCTGGATTCTCGGGATAACAAGACTTGTATTGAGAAAGAATGCTCTCCTCGTTGCACACCAGGACAGGGTGAGTGCGTAGAAGGAAGATGCCAATGCAAAGATGGCTTCGAAGGTAGGACCTGCGAAAACGACATAGACGAGTGTGCTGCCGGTGTCCACAACTGTCAAGATCGGTGTGTAAACACCTACGGTTCATTCCGTTGTGAATGCCGATATGGCTATATGTTAGACAATCGTGACAATCGCTCCTGCATTCCTCGAGACTGCATTCCACAATGCTATCTCGGTCAAGGTGTTTGCGTTGAGGGCCAGTGTCAATGCACTCAAGGCTTCCGAGGGGTAGCGTGTGAACGTGACGTAAATGAATGCCAAGAAGGATTCCATAATTGTGAGCAACGATGCATCAACAATCATGGTTCTTTCGAATGTGCTTGCTACGAAGGGTACAGACCTTTGCCTACTGATCCCAGTCGCTGCGAACGAATCAAGTGTGAGCCGGAGTGTGTTCCGGGTCAAGGCGTGTGCAACGGCGGAATTTGTCAATGTCGAGAAGGCTTTACAGGACGATTCTGTGAAAGAGATGTGGATGAATGTCGTGAGGGGCTACACAACTGTGAGCAGGAGTGCGTGAATCTCCCTGGATCTTTTCAGTGCAGATGTTATGAGGGTTATCGACCATCACCCCATAATCCAAACCATTGTGAACCTCTCACATGTAGCCCGGAATGCGTTAAGGGACAAGGCTATTGCCGCAACGGTATCTGTGAATGCCACCGGGGCTACACGGGAAAAGCTTGCGAACGAGATGTTGACGAATGCTATGAAGGAATACATGACTGTCAGCAGAGATGCATTAATACCCAGGGATCCTACCAGTGCACTTGTGATGAAGGCTACCATCCTGTTCCTTCAGATCCTCGCCTTTGTGAGCCCATCCGTTGTGAACTCGGTTGTGTCCCCGGCCAAGGACAATGCATTCAAGGTGTATGTGAATGTAAGGAAGGGTTTACAGGAGTGGCGTGTGAAAAGGATGTGGACGAGTGTCGTGAAAATCGCCACCGTTGCGAACACAGCTGTGTAAACACTCACGGATCCTATGAGTGCACTTGCAGCCAAGGTTATCAGCCCTCCCCGTATGATCCACGACGTTGTGAACCACTTCGTTGCGAGCCCGATTGCGTGCCGGGCCAGGGAGCGTGTTACAACGGTGTCTGCCAATGCAATCCGGGTTTCACAGGAAAATCCTGTGAAGAGGATGTCGATGAGTGCAAGCTAAGAATCAATGAATGTGATCACACATGTGTCAACACGTTCGGCAGCTACGAGTGCAGATGTGATCCAGGCTATGAGCTTTCTTTGAATGACTCTCACAAATGTGCTCCTGGTGATTGCATGACTAACTGCGTTCCAGGTAAAGGTGACTGCGACAAGTACGGCCGTTGTATCTGCCGCCCTGGTTATGAAGGTCCCTACTGTCAGCACGAGGCTGATTTATGTTCAACGGGCCATCATGAATGCGAGCATATATGCGTTAGTCTGCCGGGAAAACGCCATCTCTGTCGGTGCTACTCTGGCTATATCCCCGATCCCAAGAATCCCAACCGTTGCATCGAATTCGGGTGTCAGCCGCCTTGTGAAATTGGTCAAGGAGAGTGTGACATGGAGACGAAAACGTGTAAATGCAATTCCGGATTTGAAGGGAAGAGATGTGAACGCAACATAAATGAATGTGCGGTGGATAATGGTGGGTGTTCGAATTTATGTGTAGACACACACGGTTCTTACCACTGCGAATGCTCCCTTGGTATGCATCTCGCGCCCAATAGCACCACCATCTGTGTAAATGATGAGCTTTGTGATCCACCCTGTTGGTTGGGTCGCGGCGTTTGCGTGGCTGCGAATACCTGCAAATGCAATGACGGATTCGCTGGGAAGTACTGTGAAATCATTCAAAATGCGTGCAAAGCGTTTAGACCCTGTGAACAGGAATGTGTCAATTTAGGAGGTGAAACGTACGAGTGCAGATGCCGGACAGGTTACGTACCAGCTCAGCCCAACAACGCAACCGCATGTAAACCCAGTTGCCAAGTTGGGGAAAACTGTATCCATGGTCGATGCGTGGTTGGTCAGTGCGTTTGTCAGCCAGGATTTGCTGGTGAACGGTGTGACAGGGACATTGATGAGTGCAGCGGAGAAGCAGGTATCCAAGTCATGTGCGAACAGCGCTGTCTCAACACCCCAGGGTGGTATGAGTGCCAATGTGAGTCAGGCTATGAGCTCCAGCCAGATGGATTTTCATGTCGCAGAGTTGACAATGGGAACAAATGCCCCGGTGGATGTCTGAACGGAGGTGTTTGTGTCAGCAGATGCCAATGTCCGCCTGGATTTCGTGGTACGCGTTGCGAAGATGTTGTCGACGTTTGTAGAGAGGAGGAGCCATGCGATCAGGTGTGCTACAGTAAGCCGGTAAGTTTTTCTGCATCAACATAGTGTAATCTCTTAACTTGCGAGTGTTTGACCTACTTTAGCAACTTTGCATCAATCAATTAGGCTTCATTATTTATCTTCAATGAAATGAACAAAAAGAAGTAAGGCATTTGATGCATTGACAGACGAAGTAAGTTGTCTTTTATTTATTTGATAAATAAGGATTGTCGTAAGGTTTATTTTCTTGGCGAACTTGCCACTTCAAATCCAACGAATCATTTTAACATTTTGATGGTTGAGAAATCTACAAGTCGGTGGTAAGTAATGAAATAATGTTAAGATCAGAAGTGGAAAGAAAATTGGTGAAAATGCAGGAGTGAAAGTGAAAGCCGTTTTGCGATTTCCCACAGCAATACCCTGAATTGTGCCCTAAGAGGCCGCTATGTGCGAAGTGTTAAGTTTTGAAAAATGGTACCAAAATACACCTCCAAATCGGCCTTATTCAGCAAGCCGGTGCTAAAGTGCATCGGATTTTTCAAGGTTATTTTCTTTAAAAGTCATGGAACACCTAATTCTTTAGCTTTATTAAGACGGTAGATAGTTATTGTAGTGATTTTATGCGTCCTAAGTACTGCTTGTCAATCTCCTCTGTCTTCGGTCGATTACTGAATCTTATTTTTAGGCTTCGATTACCCGAAATACAAATTCCCCAGGAGTCTTGTTCACGCACAAATAACATTCTTTCCTGGAAAACCGTTTCAAGATGAGGTATGCGATGAGATATGGATCGTAGCTTGATTTATTGTTGAACTGCGAAGTCTGTAAAGTCGTTTTTCTCATTTCATCTCCTCTTGGGTGATGACAAACCACTTAAACGTTTATTTTCTTTGCTATCGACAAAAAAATCATTTTTTTCTCGATTCGGTCCCTTATTTCACCACTGGTGGGAGGAATGTGCACACACTTTCTGTGAATGCGTAGCTTTACCGTGGTTTGCTAATTTGCTCTTGGGATTAGGTTGAAATCAGTCCCTGCAAACTCAGTTAGAAAGACTATGCATCACTTCTATCATCGCGCAATCACCAGTCCAATTTGTTGCTAAAGCTAGAAATATGCCAATAAAGTGCTTCGAATGGAGGACTGCCTAATAGTAATACATCTGGTTTAGTAACAATTCAGGGTAGCATTTAAATGTGAACCTTGGAAGCATGGGGGGAATTGTTTACCATACAAAACATTTTGTTCATAAAACGTAGAATGAGTTTATGCTAAAAAAGGTACATGAAGTGGTATTGCCTCCACAATGGCATGCATAATAAAACTGAAAAGTACTAAATGAACTGTATTACTAAACTAGTAAAACAATGGTTTAACGAATAAGCGAGTTTTATCTTTCTAAAAAGAATAATGTTCAAGGTACTCACAGGTAAGTCAAGTCACTTTATTTTTCCAAATTGATTAAATGCAGCTACTGAAATAAAATTGTGTTCTATAACTTCCTTTTCAGATTTAAAATAGTACGTAGTGTATAACATGCCTGGCGTTACTTTTTCCCACTAGATTATTTTGCGTCAATCAGTAGAATAACCAGCAATTATTAGTTGAAATCTTGGCGTCGGACTTAGAACGTGTGTCAGAATATCAGTGTCGAATTGATACTAATTTAGCATAGAGCCGCCAACTATAGCTTTCTGGGGTTGGAGACCACATCAAAATTGCCCTTTTAATTTCGTTCACATGGCCTCACTGAATGTCAGCAAATGTATTCAAATAACGATCCTATGGCAGGCAATGAACTTAGGCATTATGTCACAGAAGCTTGATTGTTTGGTATGATTTTAAGTGTTGCATTCATTTGTTTTCACTTTTTTTAGACTCCATAATACGCGCATTACTGGTTCCGGGACCGATAATATTAGCATTTTAGTAGAAAATTTTTCTTATTCTACAGAGGCATGCAAAATTAATTGAAATGAGTCAATAATTTTCGAGGAAAAACTTCCTTACAAGCACTGATTGTGAAAATCATTTGCAAAATAGTACAAAACCTAAGTATTTTTGCTATCTTTGAATGCGTAAGGAATTCGGCTGAGTGCTACCGGTTCATTCTTATGAAACTGCTATTTTTTAAAATATGGTTAAAGAGTTTATCGCCTTCCGTTAACAGACTTTGTCACTCTTTTCGCCTTGCTTTTGTTGGTCTAACACCTGCTGAAACACGCATATGCTTGTTGAAGGACGGGGGCTACCTGTGCGCCTGTCACGAGGGCTACGAGCTGAATCCAAACGGTAGGACATGTAGTCCTTCGGAGGCCTGTGATCCGCCCTGTGTCGGCAAAGCACAGTGCCTACGCGGTCGATGTATCTGTCCGGCCGGCTTTCAGGGCCCCCGCTGTGATGCGGACATCGATGAGTGTGCGATGCCTGCCTACGTCCATGGCTGCGCTCACGGCTGTAGAAACGTTCATGGCTCCTACGAATGCATCTGCCCGCCCGGATATACACAAATGCCTGACAAGAGAACCTGCATTGTAAGTTTACTAAATAGCCTTATTAAATCTGGATCGACTTTTAAGAATCATGCAGCATATCATGACCTGGGCAGTACTAAAGCACTGCGATTTTCGTTCCATCCACATGGGGTGGTAGTAACAAAATCCAAAATGTAAACACGGAATTGGGGTGGAAGGAATTATTTTATGATATTGTTGGACCATTTTACGCCGGATCCAAACAAAGCTGTTCTGCATAGGAAGATTTAAAATTGCCTTTTCAGATGCGGTTGTCACTTAGACGATTCCTTGGTTGCTTTCATATAATGCCACGTATCATCGTACCATACATGTTTTGCGACAAGTATTGCCCATCTGTGTACAACATGCCGGATTTCTCCCGCTGTTTATATCCTCAGGAAGGAGTTTACTACTCAAAGCCAAATTTTCGGTAGGTGGTTTTCATAAAATTTGTTAGCGTTAACCGATGACTTGCGTAAGGCCTTACCTAGAACAAACCAAAGGAGTGTTAATGGTGACTTACACGGCCATCGACCATGTGTCTAACAGTCTACGAAAATTCATTCTAGGTCATGTAGTTGAACTTGCAATTCCAAAACCATGAGACGAACAATATAAATATGCTACTTCAGTTTTCTCTATTCAGATATCGATGAATAGTTCTGATTTTCTCTGCAATTCATCACGAGAGAGACATTCAGTTTCTTAATGTCTATTTTGAGCCGTGGTTCCTTAATTCACCCAAATCACGTTATTTTCTATGAGGGTAGATAAAATAAATTGCAACCTGACTTTTACTGATGCTAATAGTTTAACCCAATGACATCTCGCATCGTATATCACTCGGTATTGCTCACAATCTCGGCAAAATGCTTATATTGGCATAAAACATACCCAAAGGTTTAGCAGAAATTGCATACAAATTAAATAGCTTGTGAAGAAAAATTATTTGGGTATTTTCTTTGCTATATTGTGCTGATCGTGCCATTTTCGCTAGCTCCAGACGCATCACAAAACACAAACTGTTTCTGCAAGGCAACCCAGTCATATCTTCCGAAGAATGGGACTAATTTTTAATGCTACACGGCTAAAGCAAATGGCCTTATCGCACAACTTGAGTTAAGGTGGCATCTTTTATTGACTTCGACTACAATTTGTAGATCAGTTGCTACGTTGAATAGGGCAGATTATTTATCATGTCTCAAGACATAAGTCCCCTAAGGGGGAATAGTCGATTGACTGATCCTTTGGAAATTGAAGTAGTTTAGCAAATTGTTTTTGGTTGTAAGGCCCATCTTCCAAATATCCTCTGCAATTTGTGCAAATTTTGAAGTTAATCCAGTCGTCGCTGTTGAGGAAATTGTAAGAGTGCATTAAATAATCAGTCGCAACATCGTCCTTCCATCGCATACCAAAGCACGGCGCTTTTTAAAATTTATCTCTTAACAGTTCACTCAATGTGCTCACTCACTACTATTACTACTCCTAAATGCATAACAGTACTACTTATTTGGCGCGGATATTTGATCATACTGCCTACAAACTGATACTCGTCATATCTTCAAATGAAGCTAATATCAGAAAACCATCTTAGCTACACGACTCATGCCTTTAGCTTTTCAGCTTTATTTCGAAGTTCAATCATTAACTCTACAATTAATTGAATCCAAACATGTTCAAGTTTGATTTTGTATCTAAAAATAAGTTGGGCTAACCGTCAACAAGTTGCTTTCTCTAATATTGCCAAAATCAAAATGTTTTGTATTTGCGTGAAGCGATTCGCCACATTGGCATGCTGCTCGAAAGTATGACCCTTGGAAATTGCAACATGATAATAAAACAGCTCGTCGCCATTTACCATTTCCTCGCTCAAACGCATCGTAATCGGTTTCAGAAAGCTCGCCTTCATCTGATACCAACAGGAAATGAATTTCTTGAATATCACTTTTGATTCACAAACTACAGTTCCTTGTTATAAAAATGAGCGACTTTAAGGTAAGTTTAAAACGGAAAAAAATAGTAGAATTGCACAAATGCATGAAATTGATCAAAAGACAATCCTATTCCATTTTCAATTATCATCATGTCCATCCAATTTTTATTCTCAGACCGTACTTTACTCAGCTCACTTGAATTGTTTTCTCGCTTCAAAAACTAGATGGAGGGATCTTCCGACGATTGCACTCGCCCCTGCAGAAATGGTGGTGTCTGTCGCGGCGACAACATGTGTTCCTGTACGCGCGGCTTTGAGGGTTCCGACTGCAGTCAGGACATTGATGAGTGCGTCACCCTTGCACCTTGCGACCCCGACTTTGGCACGTGCATTAACCGCTACGGCGGCTACGAGTGTGTCTGTCAACCGGGTTATATCCTTTTACTGGATGGACGGCACTGCATCCAGGAGGCTAGGGCCCGACAGGCCCCCCACCTCGTTTTTCGCGGTCACAGGGTCAAAGGCATCAGCCTAGGCACCCGGGTGGAGTCTGGTTCATCTCTCCGAGACTCTCACTTATCTACCCTCAAACGCTGGCTTCGCTAGTCCTGGATTCTAGCTATCCTTTTTGGTGTTTTTTTTTAATGCTAAAATCTATCAATCTCCCTTTTTGGTGATAAGATCAAAATGTACTTAGAATTTCGGGTGACCAAACTTATGCCCTTTGTTTTGCTTTCAGTACTCATGAATATTCTTATGTAAATTTTTGATTGTTAATTCCATACAAAGTAGTGCTTGAAGAAATATACACGAATACTTCTTTCCTTCTTGAGTCTAGAGAAGCTTATTGGCAATACTTGAGACGTTACCAAATCACTTTTCAAAATTCCTCAAATTTATTCAAATTGAATAATTGAAGATTAGTTTCACCTTCAAATCGACCTAATCTTGTTGCCTGGTATTGACTGCAAAGCATTGCCGTCCACGAATTTCCTGAGAGGCGTGATGTAGCCTTTATCAAGACTAAATGATTTGTTATTTATCACACTGGAAGCCCCATGTTGTATATACCGAAAATGTCGGGATTAAAGGGGTTTTTTGATCTCAAAGGCTATGGATAAAAATAGGTATTACCTGTGAGCCTGAAAGCCCACGCACGTGAAATATTGCTTCCGGCTGAAATATGCAGTGGTCACGGTGAAAGGTTACGCCACAATCAAAATTGACCGCTGCTGCGTTAGCGGAATTTTCCCCGTCTAAGAAGGTCTGACCTTTCAGTTCCACCCTCGATACGCAAGATGAAGCAGTTTTTGATTGTTTTTACAGCAAAATCACTTTCGATCATTATGCACTTTTGCAATGGAAACTGGCCATTTGCCTCTGGGAACTCATATGGAAGTCAGAAACGTTTGATTATGGCAAGGAAATCAATTATACATTTATCCAGTTATTCAGATGGACAATCCTTTTAATAACCATTTAAGAAGTGCCTAACCAAGATTCACTTTTCCAGTTCTAGCTGCTCATGACACTGGAAATCGCAGAAGCTCTAAAAAATTTCACAATTTATTAATGAAGATGCCTATTTTAAACTAGCAAAGGTGTAGACCCCTAAGACTCCAGTTAAGTGAATACTTTATTCTGCTTCATAATTCGATTAAACAATCATCGGTGGTCTTCTAAAGCACAAAGGATTTTGTAATCGTAATGTTTTCAAACGTAGTCCCACTAATAGGCCTGATAAGGGAAGGTGAAAATTCACTCGACTGCTTCCAGTTCTGCAAATATTTGCGTTCTTTAGATACATAAACACAAAGTATCCTACATCCAAGGCAAAAAATATCTCTTAAAAAAAATCTCGCCCTAGTCATTTAGCTCATAATGGCTGAGTAGCTAGAATCAATGGTGTAGTTCCATTGACCAGCAAAGGAAGTCACACTGGATGCTACAAAATCGGCACTTGAGGGCGCCTTTTATGCGTACTCTTGTGTACGATTCTTGCAGCGGGTATTGAGATTTCACTGTGACCGGTGTATTAATATACGTCTTGCCCCCCGATAGACATCCACGGAGGCGATGGTTTAATCTCAGCAGCCATTATTAAGATGCCTAATCCGACCAATTTTGATTAGCTTGATTTGCTTAATCCTACGTTACGTACCAATTCAACACTGGTTATTCCGACCGTCGTTACCTATGACCGTTAAATTTGCGAACTAAACACTTGAAATTACGCATTCGAATTTGTTCCTTTCTTCGACGATATGGTCTAAAATTGTGTTAGACTAACTTCAAAGTTTTTCTTGATGCTTGTCAGAAGATTTATAAATCTTAAGACTTTTGCAGGTTTCACCATTATTCATTAAATGAACTTTTGAGAAAAAAAGAAAATCACGCGTCGCGATCTTAAGCAGATGATTTTATCGGCGCCTGATTTCTAAAAACCTTACAGGGTGAAGTAATAATAAGTAGTTTTAGCATTTTAGCTTATGTTTATGTCGAAATTAAACTTAATACTAATTTAAAATATTTTATTAGTAGTTTGACCGATTCGGAATGCGTGACGTGTGCTTCCACAACAATAAGGTCAAGGGATAAACAATATAGCAACTTTTAGGAAACAAAAAGACCTGTTTTTATAAACGGGAACAATTATGAGAAGTCTACTGCTAGATACAAATAAAAGCCAAATTGACACCTACATGCAGAATACGATGCAATTACTGAGATTCGGAATTTAACTGTGCCACTTCTGTCACCAACGTGGTAAATTGGCATTCTTTGAGTCAGCAGAAGTCATTTTTCAGTCACTTGGAAAAAACGGATATTCTTATCGTAATATCATTTTACACAAACACGACAAAAAAGTGCAAAGACTCTAAGTATTCGGAATTTTTTTGGGAAAAAAGACAACTAAAGCATTTTTAACATATACTTATACAGTGTGATAATAATGTAAATTCAAAAATAGTCCAGGAAGGTGTGGACCACTTCAAGTACTGCGAAATTAAGGTATAGAAAGTAAGAGTTAAAATTGTAAGACCAGTCCAATGGTTAAGGCGTCTTCGCCTAGCGTTGAAATTGCACATAGCGTTTTATTACATTATAACTTTAAAACCATCTTTGACAAATACATGAATTTAATTGGATGAGGTTATTTGGTTTCGTCAAAATATCCTTTTGCTAATCCAATTGATCACATGTAGGTGGTTTTGTTCGATATATTTAGCCTCGCCTTAATGTAGTTGCGGAACTCGGTTAATAATTATGCAGACATTTTTATACTCAATAATTATGTGACACTTTCCTTATGTTGCTCCGCGCCCCTTTTCTGGAGAAAAAGGCTTATTTAATGCTACACAACCTCTATGGTTTGTTAGTATCATGCGCACATTTTATACCGTATTTTGGTGCTGTCGGTACTTCAGCTGAGTTACTTATGTAGATTAAAATGTGGTGGTCAATTTTTTGGTCCTTTTCAGTCGTTTTTCGTAAAACCTCATTAGATTGATTACAAAGCCTATTTTTCAAGCAGATATCACATCAATGCAATGTCCGTTGGGGATTTTGGCGATTGGGAAGATCAAATCTCTCCATCTGATATTTCTCTCGCTGCACAAAAGACGCGGCGTAAGTCGATTCGGCGCAGTATGATGGTCATTCCTACCTCTTCAGATCCCCCAATCGGCTACAGTAGCCCTAAAATTGTGGTTCGACGGAAGAGTCTTGGGGTCGCTTTAAAAGACGATTGTGTTTCTCACATTTCCTCCACTTTTGTCCCTCGTCATTCAGTGTCGTCCCTTGGAGAGCAGGACCGTGAACGCGTGAATACTCATTTGGAGCAACCACTAATATTAGCTCCATTTAGCCCTCCAGTTCCCACTGGTCCGGTGACTGCATCCTCTCCACACTCGCATGTGGAAGGTGCACTTTTTTCAGGTCCTTCTACTAAATCCCCAAGTCATCGTTCTGCTCAGCACTCCCAGTATCAAAAAATCCCTGTATTAAGTGACTTGAAGCCCATTCCAAATTCGATAGATGCTTTGTTTGAAAGTTATGAGCGAGAACTTTCCGCGTGGCCAAGATTTTTGGATCGACTGGAACGTGAGGCGTCATCCCCTCTTCAGACACCCTGCATAAAACTCGAGGAGATGATGGATAACTCGATGTTGAGTCCCTTTGTAGAATTCATTTCCTCGGACAAGTCTAGTTCGACTGTGAGCGAACTGCAGCGTAGGACCAAACACGCCTACAGGTCGGTGATAGTTGGTTTAGTTAGGACAAAGCTGGCCTACAAGAAACTGAAGTATTGGGTGGCTGCCTTGGAACGCCGAAATGCCGCGTTGAGACATGCAAAACTGAAAGATCTTCTTCCAAATCTGGTTTTGAACCCTAGCCCCATGAATGCCAGGGATCTCCTTGCTTTTATTCCATGTCTACGGGAAAGTGGTGAACCTTCATTGTAAATATTCCAATATATGCATATATTCTAACAAAACCTCGTCAATTATTTACAAAGTAACCTTTGTGTTCAGTTTTGCTTCGATGAAAATTTAGGCATCTAAGACATTGAGAAAAATGGCTTAGTCTCTTAACATCATATGATGTATGAAGTCCTCGTAGTGTATGCGTCCATTTGTACTGGCCCCAGCGCTTTTAATAAGTGCGGCCATTTCACCTGCGGATAATTTGTCTCCTCGTGTGCAGAGGGTTTGTGTCAGCTCCTCCGTTGTCAAGTAGCCTTTAGACGTTGAATCGAAGAGGGCGAATGCATTTACTATGTCTTCTTCGTTGTATACATCCTTTTCCTTCTTGGAAGCTATTTGGCAAAATTGCTCGTAGTTGATACCCTCCGAAAAAATATTTTTCTCTGTGTCAACAGAGCGCAGTAGATCCTGCAATTTAAAAAAGGGGGGTGTGGGAAGCACATTTAGTGGATGCAGCTGTTGCTACTAGTGCTTATCTTTTGAGGCAAAAGTATTTTGAGTGTATCCAGCAGTTCTGGTCGTGCTTGCCTGCATCATGTATATGTCGCGTGTAGGGGGGGGGGATCATTATTGGAGCACTAACTGAGTGCTTATAAATAAGTAGAAGGGGTTGAAATATCATTAGATATAATTACTGAGGTCACTACGAACCTCCAGTTCGCAGTCAGCGGGCATCAGTCCGACCTTTCGCAAGCAGACCAGTACGTGTTCACAAGGTATTTTTCCCTTACCATCCGGATCGAAAGTGTCGAATGCCTCCTGGTATTCAACAAGTCGCTCCTCCGTTACATATGTCGCTAGTTTTGGTGGCATTTCACGCTCCTAAAACCAAAGAAGTCATTTTGATGCGTTAGTTTTAATAACACCATTTTTAAGGCAATTGCCAACCAACTCAAGACCATTCTATTGATGTTAGAGCTGAAGTAGCTGCAATTCTACAAAAAAGTGCTTGACTGGTGTTAACTAATTACCTTGGTAGCATTAAAAATACACGAGGTGGCACATCCAACTCATACACAAACACATTTGGATAAGTCACACCTACGGGAGCTTCATTTTACTGAAGTTTTGAGAATATGATGGGTTCTCAAGCCGTTGTTTGGTAGATACTACGTCAAAGCGAGACGCATATACAGATGGTTGCCATAATGAAGAGTGATTAGGTGATTATTACGCGTTGTCTGCGAAAATTACCTAGTGTATGCTATCTGAATTGTGAGTTGCTACGTTTCAAAATAACACTGGTACCAATAAGGTCACTTCAGAACCAAAAACAAGCCACTTCCCCGATTCATTGAAATGTGCATAACCCCATGTAATAACTAATCTTCTCCTGTAATTAGTATCACGCTAATTTTGTTCCAAAGCTTGCAATTGATAAAATGACTGTTCTATTTACGGTGAAATCGGCTGAAATAATTTTAGCACAAGCAAATAAATGCGAATAGTGCTTTATGGGATCTCACTTAATGTTTGTTTATTCTCAGAAGTATACTATGCACTGAAAAATATTAGTGCGTCTAAAATTAGTCCAACGTCACATAGCTTAATGGTCTAATTACGTAGCATCATACATCCAGAACCCAACTTTCCTTCACTACTGCTAACATGACCCGAATATGCTGATTTTAAGCAGACACACTTAAAGATTTTAAAGATTTCCTAAACCTACACCTGCATCTAGAAAGTGTTCATTCGAGAAACCCAATAAATAGCCTAACATGCTATCCTAGTTCAAAGATCAGACATTTTGTGCATGATGCTTTTAGGTTAATATAAGTTCACACCGATACTTAGCACTCTTGGTCTTCTCTCGATCCACAATGAGTTAAGATATATTCAGGTTATGGTGTGAAGAAGGTCTGGGAAGCCACAAGCATGCTCGGGAGACTGTCAGCTAGGACTAGTATAGCCTTCGGAGATTGGAGAAAGTGTGTGGTTAGACACGCAGATGAACAAAATACCAAGCTGCTACAATACATAGTCACTTGTGACAATGCATTGGGACGATATGCTGTGGAGTTCATACTTGATCTCCACGATAGATGCTATCTTGTTAGTGGATTAAGCTGAAGTAGCATCCAGTAACTTCATTTCACCTTACGAAGATTTACTTCGCCCATATGCGTATCATGAAGAGTGCCAATGACTTTACAATCCTTCCCATTTCACCATTTATTTGGGAATTTTAATCTAAAGCACATCTGCCCATAAAAGGCTTGCACAATTTTAAGACTCATAAAAGGAAAATCGTGGAGGGATTTAACCCACTTCAAGTATTTTGTCGAACAGATAGGTAGGCTGCGTGAAATAAAAACCAGCAAATCAGTGAATGAAGTGAATACTATGGGTATGGTTCTCGATCCTAGTGGAGTCGGAGACTTTTACTAAGTTGAAATGTGGTTCTCAAGTCATCCCAGAAGAGGTAATAAATATACCAAATGCCTGGGGGACTACTTCTTAGGTGATATAAGCGTTATTCATGTAGAGGTCGAATAGGTCGTGTGATCATACAACATAACCAAATATCATGCAGATAATCTGTGTTCCTATTCTTATGGATAGTGAATCGAAAAAATACCAACGGAGCGGAATGCGATGGCAGGCTCCCCTTAGAATAGCAAAACACTGTTAAGTGTAGCGTCCCGGGATTTCCATGAGGACGAAAGAAGACATAATACTCTAGCAGAATAAGTATATTCGACGTAGAAAAGGTATCAGGGCTACTGGCATGGCCCAAAGGCCAGCCCACCCGGAGTGGTACAATGACCAAGTCAAAAAAGTGGCTCCCCACCAAAACCGAAAGATAAACAACCATCGTATTACACAACTATGAAAGTATTTTGTAAGCAAAATTGGTAAAACTGCAAATGCTTGTATGTTAATAGGTAAAAATTTGCCAATTTTCTGTAAAACAACAAAATTATAGTGCAAAAACCAACAAATTTGTAGTTGTCAAACATCAGAAATAGGTTCCAATGTAACAAGTGAGAAAATTTGATGTTGAAACGGATATTCACACATCAGTAGCTTTAACAAAAGTCTAACAATTATCGCTTTGATTGCTGCATGCATCTCTTGACTAATAATTTTACTTGAATTCCTGGTAATTTAATGTATATTTGGTTCAGTGCTAGGAATTTTGGACCAAAAGTTGGGTGTTTAGCGATCAGATAATGTAATCATGATCCTCCGTTAAGTTAAATCGGTAATTAGGGTTTCATGTGTGAAAAAGAGTAGCTGCACCTTACCAGGCTGCATGCAATATTGATGATAAAACACTCCAACTTTACTTCAGACTGCTTCTTAAATGAAATATTAGATAGATTCTTTCGAAATATATATTAGAAGCAACAGTGGATACCGAAATTATTTAACCTAATTTATCAAGACAGCCTTAATGATGGGTAAAAGTGAACACTGCTTTAAGACTGAAATGGAATTTACCGTTTTTAGGGAATGAGCCAGAAATAATCTTTTGAGTTCCATACTTTTTAAAATAGATGCTACCTGAAGAGTCGTTAAGATTTCCGTAGCGGATAGGATTGGCCGGTTTGTCAGCCTATCACGAGGTAGTTGCACGCACCTTCCGTAAACACCGTACTACAACCCCTTCTCGCTGTTGTCCCCTCCCGAAGATTTCTTCGTCTTCGGAGCATGTCGTCCTCCCTCAACACCATCACCACGGCCGTCATCGCCATAAGTCGAGCCTGGATTCATGTCATTTCCCAGTGAGTACTCCGTCAAGTCCACGCGGGGTATCTCACGCAGAAGTGCGGGTTCTGCGGGTACCCGTTTCGTGGACTTCATTCGCTCCCTCTTCCAATCTGTTTTTGCAAAACCAGAGATGGTCTACGAGTTTTCTATCCCCACGACAGTAGCCCCATGTCTCCCCATTTCCTCCTCACTGAAGCGCCATCAAACTACTCCTCCAGTTCGCTCCTTCTCCCAGTATGAATACCTCTCGGATGCAAGAAAAAATACCTTCGAGTACGGGAACAACGTGACCCCGTCCAGCACTCAATTCGTGCTATCCAGGTCGCCACATCCACCGCCACCGCACCCAAGCATCCGCACAATCGATCAATTCTACACTCCGCAAATTAAACGGTCGAATGTGAAGCGGATTAGCACCGAGGCTGCTAGGCTGCATGATATACGAATCGTTGATTTGGGTGAGGGACTGATGCGCGCGCATTTGCATGACAAACAGGGAGAGGAGTGTGCGATAAGGGCTGAACCCAGAACAATCTACTCAGAGAGTGTGGAGATCGACGTGCGTAGTACTGCGACCCAACAATTTTCACCGTTACCCAGGAAGTTAGACAAACGGGTAATTTCGGTGGCGAATATCGCTGTGGATGGTTCGCGTGCCACTGCCTTTGATATTCAACCACAGCTCTCCAATGTCACAAAGAAGAAAATTTCATTAAAGTACAAAAGTTATGATCGGTTAGAGCAGCCGAATCAGGTATCCGAAGGAAATAAATTTAAGCAACAGATGGCAATAAAGGAAAAGATATTGGCTGAGTGGGAACGCAGTCGGTATCATGATGAGCAAGGGCCGGACAGCAGTTTTTCTTCGCTCGTATCAAGGGAGGAACCGATGATGGTAAGTTATTCGACCGTGCCACTTTGTTACGTCCATATTATTTGGCTCAGTCACGGTTGCAATCGAACACTAAGTCCTCGTACGGGGCAAAATAAAAAAGATGTATATGAAAAGTAAACGTGGCTTCCAATCTGCTATCTGTCATTGCATTGAACAGTTGCGCCAAGTGTTTGGACCTACAATAGCGTTTGTCTGCTTGTGTCCCCTTAAATGAAAAGTGCATAGTTATAAGAATTTTGAAATTTGTGTCCTTTGCATTATATAAACCTTTTTACGAAACTACATCTCCAAATGCTTTTCAATGAAATATTGAAATAGGGTATTTGATTGCAACTATAAGACAAAAGTAACCAAACGTAGTGTACACAAAGGTGGTATTAGTGAAAAAGTTCAAATTTTCCCTTAAGCAGATCTTCGTGGAACGCACAAAATGTCCTTGCTGGCAGAAAACGCAATCTGTTTCACTTAATTTAGGCCAGCCAACTCTAAATAAACACTGCTTATTATTCAGTGAGCAATCATCCTTGCGACCCACGTTGGTTAAATTTAGTCCCTGATGCAAGATTTATGCTATTAGTTAATTTCTGTATTTATTAATTGGTAGCGGAAGAAATCTTCAACCAAATTAAATTCTGCTTTGCAAAATTATCTACTTAAGTGCTATATGATCTGCTTCTCGGTCACAATGCCACATAAGTAAAATAATTTGTAGGTCAAGCTCAAAATAACAGCCTTCTTAATGAAGTGGGGAGGATACATAGAAATGCAATAAAACATGGCGGGGTATTCGAGCGCATTGAATAGGTTGATTATGTACTGTGCCAGCGGTGATGAATCTATGACCGACTCACTGCTTTCACCTTTGAGCAATTAAACATTTGATGGATAAAGTGCTTTCTGGAGCGGATACATTAATTGAAGCGGCAATTATTCTCTAAGTGATCAAATTCACCGTCGCGTGGACTTTCTGTTAATACTAAACCACGATTGCCATTGGTAAACAGCTTCAATTATAACCATTTATGTAGTTAATCAACGATCTTGGCTATTCATGCCATGGTTACCGGATTAGGGGCCCCCAGCTTGCCAAAGATGTAGTGCGCCTTGTCTACCACATCATCACGTGATTTGGCAGGCTAAGAAATGGCTTCTGACTCCCTTAATGCGGGTGGGAGGCGTCTTCTCATCGTGGTCTATTTTATCCACCATGACATTTCATTTTATCCCAGCCCAGTCCGGTCATACGGTATCCATACAGCGGTCAGCATGGGCAAAAAAGAGTGATGGTCAAGGATGGCCAGAAATGAAGCCAGCTTTTTGGCCAGCACCGACATGCGGCAAAAAGCCATTTCAATTGCAAACAGCACCCACTAAGGTTTTTCATATTTTGTTGCGATAATAATACAGAAATATGCAATCCCCTAAATATTTTTCTAGAGCTTTGTAATGAATTTGGGGAATAATTAGAAGTTATTTACAATAGATCATTTTTCGTTTTAGTAAAGAGGTCATAGATGTGCCTTAAGATTCTGGACGATAAAAAGTAATGTGCCAGCTCAGCTAGTGACTGTTATCACAACTCAATGTTCATTACAAAAAGAAACGTATGAAAGCCAGTTGTGCATTCGGCTTTTACTAAATAGATGACAGGTTAAGCGAAGCCTTGGGAATTGCACCATATATGCTACTATTGTTTCACTCTCAAATATCATATTTCATCCAACATTTATGGAGGGAATGTAAAAACTCCCATTGTACACTGGGACACTGGGTAAACGAAAAAAGATATGAACTTTGATACATTTGCAGAAAAGAATTATTAAATTCATGTGACAAAAGTAACTTATTTACGTACTTACAACTTTGGACGGATTGCAGCAACACCTATAATACTGAGGTAAACCCATTCCATGTCAATTTTCCTACTAAAACAAGAAAAGTCCTGAAATATGAGTTCTACTATTCGATTTGGAGTTTATTTGCAATAAAATCAAAAATGCTGAACTTTTAAGTGTTGATTGCTATAGTAGTGACTAAAAGCAAACGCTAATCAACCGCAACAACATTTTCAGGCATTATGAAAGATTGTGTTCATTTAGATATTCTTTAAAAATGAACGTAAAATATGTCACGTAGACTTGAAGTATTTATATCTATTTTTCCACATCGGAAATCGTGCTTTCTCAAATGTTGGAATCGTACTTCTACTGTTCCTTTACCAAAGGTAACTTCATTAGCCCTTAAAGTCGCAGAAACTTAGCAGAGTGTGCGATCGGTTGGAGATATACTCGGTGTCATTTTCAAAGAACCGACAACTTAATCGGTGGCACACGCTTCCTGGGCATACTCCTCCCAGCTTCCTACAGCACTTTTAATTTTACAGGCCACATTGACCTCATTTGAAGGTACGGCACTTTTACCGTGAAAGGTCGAACACAAATAATGTGCGCTTACCTTGACAGTCACATCTTACTGCTTCATGCACTCTGGCTACCAATTTTAGTTTCTGAGTTATCTATGATTGGTGTTTCCGCGAAATATCAACATGTCTCATGAGACCCGTCGCGTTAACAATGGCAAAAAGAGTACAAATTGTTTACTACAAATGGCTAAAATCATGAGTAAAAACAAGAAATGTAGCACCCATTTTTAATTGAAAGAAAGTAGAATTGGCGATGTGATGTTGTCCTATGTGACAATAAAGTTTGTACCGATTAGGAGAACTTATCCGAAATGAAACAAAGAACAAATCTTCAAATAACAACAATTGCCCCTTCTTCCCTACCTTTTGCCATCTCAAAGGTGATACTCAAATATTTCATTGGCCTGCTTTAAAAGCATTCCATATATGGGGCAAACCTCAGAGCCCTTAGCATACATGCGGGCCCTAAGGTTTGCTTTATGCAGCCAACTAGATATTTGTATATTTTTATCGATGCAACAAAAAGACAATTTGACGGCCACCAACTGTTGCAAAAGAATATTTACACTCTTGTCATATCATGATTTTGAAGTCCAGAGTGCTGATTTTAGCTACAGTAGAATCCAAGGGCTGTGCATGCCAAGTGCTTGGCTAAAGCAGAACGAAGTACAGAACTCTGAAAATGCATACACAGTCTGTCATCCGATATGAGAAATTGATTTGTATATTGACCGAAACCTCCTTATATTTGGTAACAAAAGAACCTAGTTATCCTCATGTGGATCAAGACAGGAGCTGCTGTTAGTATTTTTTCGAACCTGATGGCGTAAAAATGGCATATATTCGAATAATATGCTCTGCAAAGGCACCTCTGAATTTAAGCATACATGCTTTACTTTTTGTTGGTTGTCAATTTGCACATTTACCTGATTGCATTTAAGTGTACGGGAGTTATAAGATGCCTTATGGTCTTGTGAATGCCACATGGTAGTTTTCGCACATTTTCATGTTAGTGTGTTAATTTTCTGCGACTACTAAATTTGCGAAATGAACAAATAAAAAGAAAAGCAATGAATTATCTCATTCTCTATCTACACTAATCCACCGTAATATAGTAATTTCTCAAGGAAAAATTAATTTTATCAATTTTCACAAACAGATTTTGAAGTTTAAAATGTCATCTTAGTAATGGAAAAGAACGTTTGCACACTTATATGCTTCACCTTCATCCACCTGATATCTTAACCTCGTTGTGGATCACTGGATAACTCGGAGATGGATTTGAGGTCTTGACTGGCTGGCCCACAAATATCGGGTCGGATGCTAATTAGTTGCCTTTTCCTTAACCAATGCTACCGAACAGCAATTAGAGTGTTATCTTAAACAGATATTGCAAATTTAAGATAAAACGAACGCATTTCTACTAGCTTGAAAACAAAAGCAAAATGTTTCAATAAGCTACGATCTGTGAATCAACTCGTTAAAATTCATTTCTCTGTCAAAGTTCACTTGTTTAATGTGTATGTAATTTAGGAAATTAGACATTTAGCTCCTCTCATAGAGACAACCTAGAGTTTGTTTGACACTTTTTGGATTATACTTAAAATCCAACGTGGGTAAGTTTGTCTTTATATGTTTAAATGGAATAAAATTCAGTCTAGTTACTCCAAGCGTGAGGTGGGTTCGATTACCAAGTCGTAAGGACCATTGATAATAAGCCGTTATGTATCTAAAGCGAAAAAAGGTAAAGACAGGTGTCGACAAAGTTGTGTCTATTTGAGATAACACAAAGATTATCCACGACAAAATCGATCATTTGTGCTTTTCTGAAAATTATGAAAAAACTAATGCGGGGGATTCTGTTAAAGGGGAAAAAGAACCACAAAATCTATGTATTGTGTTCTACTAAATTTTCCCCTGTATTTCAGCAAAAGGTACAAAACGAAGAAATGACATTTCTGTGTTTGATCAGTTAGCTCTATCAGAGAGTGCCTAAAAATTTTTGGTCGTCATAAGTTACGACTAAACATTCAGCGACGTAATCGGTATACCACAACCAGAGCGAAGTGCAATTTAATGTATTATAACTTTTGATATTGTTGTACCTTTGCAGTAAATTTCATTTTCCCTTAGTGTTATTTTAGGGCATTTTGACCCAAATGCACCTTCAAATCGTCTTCACTACAACAGACGAAAATAAAACAGTACGATATGGGTGGATCGCACACACTAGTAGAGAGAATTTGTAGTGTGTTTGCTAGCTCGAGTGTGCTGGGTCATCGCGCTTTCAGCAGTGCAGCAGTTTATATTTGCTCCTTTTCTCCCCGTCCTTAAAGACAGCAATTGTGATGGAGGCGGCGACAGCAGGATGAAAGCATTTTGCGCATCAAGGAAAGCATCATAAACGGGGTTTAAATGCCGTATTTGCTGACTTCGTCCATAGCTTGGTGAACAGTTCGGTATCCGCACTAAAGTATCCAGAAAATGTTTCTTGTAATCAGCTTCATTTCACTTTTTAAATATTTGGCGAGGGCATTGAGCCCGAAATTAGGGCTTGACAAGTTTATTCAATACAATAGACGAAAATTTACCAGTCCCTCCATAGGGAGGAGTTCCGTTTACGACCAGGTCTAAAATAGGAATAAATTCAACGATTGAAAGAAAGCATTTGCT